TCATGATTTTTTTTTTGTTCTCTCAAAATTAAGAAATCAGATGGCGGGGGGGACGTCCACGTCAGCGGGCCTTGGCCCCCACGTGACAGTGGGCCAATGGCCCAACCGTAATTTCCCCCTTTCCTAATTTAATTTCCATCTATTTTTTTTTGGAATTTTTGTTTTGTTACGAACAGCCCTTTCCTTTTTCAGGTAAAAAAAAAAAAGGAATCCCGGCATCTCAACGTCAAAATGCTCGACCGAAAACAGAAAAACGTCAGAATACAAGAAGGGGACAAGCTTCACATGAAAACTATGTGATTTGATGATATACCTTGATCTTAATTCACGGGAAATGCATACCATTAATGTTACTGTGTGTGTTTCTTTTGTGTTATGGGGTTTTTTTTTATATTTTTTTTTTTGGATCGGAGCGTTACGAGACTGATTTGTCAGTGTTGTGGCGGACGCGCCTCCGGCGCTCGAGGGCACTGACCGAGCCCCCGTTTCGTGAGACCGTCGTAGATGAATCTATTTCATCGCGATCGAAATAGCATGAAATAACTCTCAAATGATAAGAATTATGCATTTACGGTGCTATTGCGCGTATATTTACGATGAAATGTGTGTGTTTACGATAATATCGGCATTGACATATATAGAGTTCGAAAAGTAGAATCGATTTACAATGACATTCTACCCCGAATGCACGGTGCTTGGCACCATGATAGATCGACTGGCATAAGGAAATGAGTTCGGTAGACCTATCAAAATAAGTCATAGAGCCATTTCTTAATCCATATTTAATAGGTTGAATTGTTATATGGGTTAATTATATTCAGTAAATTGATCATAAATGGGTTTAAATTCAACTCATGGGTCATGAACGAGTTTAATATGAATGTTAAATAGGTTCACAACTTATTTATACCCAACCCACCTCTATGACTCTTTCTCTCGCCCTTACTCGATATCATATTCGCTCGCTCCATGCTTTTCACCTTAGTTTAGATTAGGTTAAATATGCAGGTGCTTTAGCAATACTGGTCGAGTCGGGCATAAGTCACTAGATCTGTATTGCATGGAAATGAGTCAAAACAGATCAATTTGGGCCGGACCATTTTCGATCCGACTCGACCCATCCGTTTTGATAGGTCCGGAGTTCGGACAATAATTTCTCGGAGTTTCGATGAAGACGGAGGCGAAGCGGGTCCCGCGACCCCCGGGGCCCGGCATCAAGAAGGGGGGCTTGCGAGCGCTCTCTAAAGTCAAAATTCGGGCCGCGAGCAATTTGTATGTTTGTGACGAAACAAAAGAAGAAGAAATATCAAACCCACCTGCGCATGGCCGAGTTGGTGGGCGCTTTCCTTCCCTTCCCAGAGGTTCTGGATTCGAATCCCCGCTCGGTTCCGTAATTTAAGTGGGGGGCCCTGGCGGTGGGTTGCTGGGCTAATCTCCCCCGAGGTATAGGCGCCCCGATTATCTGTGCGGGCTCGTCCCCGGGGAATGGTGGCAGATCCTCGGTAATAAAAAAAAAAAAAAAGAAACCAATTCAATCAATAGTAAAATCATGAGATGGTCAGTTGAGGAGGAACTCCTGCTCTGCTCTACGCCAAATGAACAGGGAAAACGCTATTGTTGGACACAGACACAGTCGCCACTGTCACTCTTTATTCCGAGCCTGCAACATCTTTTCGTTATTACCGCCACATTATTGTTGCAAATTATGCTGCTTTTTACAGAGTTACTTACTACTCACTTCTCGATCACCATCCACTCCTCCCTTCGTCTTTCCATTTGCAGGCGAAATAATTTCTGTAGCTCGACGCCTACATTTCCTCTCGAACTCCCCCCCATCATCTCTCTGTCGTCACCCGATCACCCACCGTTCTTCTGGAACTTACCCCCGCTTCAAGAGGATGTGGCGCGGCCATTTGTTCGCGCCGAAACTCTTAGGGTCTGTATAGTAACGTTTGTATTCCTAAAAATAATTTATGTTCAGCAATAGTTTTTTTTTATTTTTAATTTATTGGACAAGTTTCTGAGCAAAAAAACGCGTTTAATAACTGCACAAAATTTCTATTCCCGAAATAAGAAAAAGAACAAAAATGCATTTGGTAGGACACTAAAAATTTCTATTCCCAATTTTTTTTTAATTATAAAATTATCGGTAGAGACTTAATAATTCATATTTGGATAAAATTGGATTGGAAATAAAATAATAATATATTATGATATAGAATTGGATGACCTTAATGCAATTATAAAGAAAATTACTCCTTATAGACAAAGCAAATACCGGATAGTGGTCGAGGAAATTGCAGTTTAGGGTATAGGATTTTAAGATTTGGGGTTAGGGGTTAGAGTTTAAGGATTTCGGTTTTGAGGTTTAGGATTTGGGGTTTAGTGTTTTGGGTTTGGGTTTAGGGTTTAGTGGTTTAGGGCATTGGGATTTGGGATTTAAGGTTTACAGTTTAGGGTTTCGGATTTATGGTTTAGGATTTGGGGTTTTACGGTTTAGCATTTTAGGATTTAGGGTTTGGAATTACGATTTTAGGGTTTCGGGTTTGGAGTTTTGGGGTTTAGGGTTTGGGTTTAGGATTTGGGGTATATAGGGTTTAGGATTTAGGCTTAGAGATTTGGACTTTCGGGTTTAGCTTTTAGGGTTTTTGATTTTAATGTTATGGGTTTTAGAGTTTGGGTATTGAGGTCTAGGGTTTGAGGGTTAAGGTTTAGGGTTTTGAGATATAGGGTTTGAGGATTTAGGTTGAGGGTTTAGGTCCTCTCTGATCTTGTTTCTCTTTTTTGTTTAAGAAACAGAAAAGTATATTTTTTTTACTTCTTATTTCTGTTCTAAATCTATTCCCTGACCAATTTTCTGTTTCGGGGAATAAAAAAACTAACCGATATTACTAAACGGATTTCTTTTCTTTTTCTGTTCAGAGAAACAGAAAAATAGATAAATAGAAACGTTACTAAACAGACCCTTAATGCCTAGCGAAAGAGCTATTTCTCGTTAGATCCGTCACTCCACTCCCATGCATCCAAGTCTCGTCAAGTCGACTTTTCACCCTTTTAGCTCCTACTTTATGTAACGAAAGGCCCCATTGATGAGAACTGACCCTTTGGAAACCGAGGACGATCTCCGTCCATACTCCAGCTTGCCGCCATTGGGGGACAGCCCCCCTGCTCCTCCGAGTCTGAAATTTTTCACAGGACGTATCAGTCGCCATCCTGACATGGATCTAATCGCTCTCTGCTCCTCCGAGTCTGAAACTTTTCACAGGACATGTGAGTCGCCATCATGACATGGATCTAATCGCTCCTTCCTCTAGCCCTTACACTGACACACAAGAATAATCGCGACCCGCATGATATTATTAATTAATGATTTAATAACCATACAAGTGCTAAGACGTACTGGCTACGAAAAGATGCTGTAAGAAGTCACGGTTTTTTATTTTTAATAAAAAAAGATGCGACTCTTGTAAGATAGGATGTATTTTGATGGTGGGCACGTATTGATAGCTCGTTGATCCATTCATTTATATAACTGGCATTCCTCCGAACAGCAAGAGACAGATGAAATTGATTGCGGGGGGTGGGTCCTTTTTCTCCGCGTCGGTGTCGTTTGATGGTTGCTCGCCTGCTTTTTCTGCAGAAGTTCAAAGCCGCACGGCGCGGAAAACGAGGAGAGGAAGGGAAGGGATTAGCTGGCGGGATCGGCCGGCCCCGCCATCGCCTCCCCGGATAACGACCCGCCCCTGAGGAGGACGACGACGACGATGATGATGAAAGACAGACCCGGGTTGAAGGAGGGGCCCGACGGAGGACCGGGACGTGATGTGATCGGGCCGGGTCCGGGGCCCACGAAGGTCGGGTCACGTCGGCGACCCGAAAACCGCCCGACAGGCCCGCCAGAGGTGTCGCGGGCCCCGACGCTGCGGGTGGAGGTGGGCCCCCGGGGAAGGAGAGGGGGGGGGGGGGGGGCGAAAATCAAGCTGTCGAGGATCGTGGGCCACGTGTAGCGCCCGGAGGGAAAGTGGAAGTGGGGGTGGGTCCCACCCTCGAATTAAATTATTGGGTGTCTCTCTTCTTTGGGAAATTACATCCTTTTGTCCTTGCAGTTTTGGAGATTTCCACTTTTCGGTCCCCTAGATTTTGTTTGGTTATAATTGGAGGCCTCGTATTATTATTCTCCGGTGACAGTGTAAGTCCTTTCGTTGCGATTCCCATCCAAGCTTCACCCACAATTGCCGACCTATCACTAGCTATTGACACGCATCGCGTATTTATATTGCAAACTTATAAAGCGAACTACTTTTTTGGTCCTCGTACTTCTAGCAACGATCATAGTTCTTGCGTTATGCAGTTTATGGGAGTTCTTCCGATTCCTCTCGACCCTTGAATATTAAATCAAATGGCTTCAGAAAAAAAAAAAACTCTTCAATTATGATTAATAAAACCATTAATATGAATTAAGACTTATACACACATTTCGAGTAATAAGTGCAAGCCAACATCATTTGAGAGTCTTATTTGCAATGGAAATGGGATAAATCGGACTTAAAATCTCATCAATCGATAGTACCACTAGTGTAGTGGCAAAAACAAAAAAAATGAGGACTCAATTTGAAAACATCAAAGGTCCATGGACAAAAACTATAATTTTATTCTAGAGGCTTGAACATGCGAGCGCTACATATCAGTTGACATTGTTGACTCATCGATTTCCAGAATATTTTCTACGGATTTTTTGCCGGATAGACTTAAATTGTCACTGGAGAATACTACGAGGATTCGAACAAAAAGCACAGAAATAGAAATGAAATCCCCGAAACTATAGGGACCAACCATGCAATTTCTTCCGATTTTTCCTCTGATTGCGCAGAGAAAGGCAAAGGTGCTGTCAAGCAGCCCACAGTACGTCGTATGTCGGGCACTGCAAGCTGTCGGATATAGAGAGAGAGAGAGAGAGAGAGAGAGAGAGAGAGAGAGAGAGAAAGTGGGCCCCTTGGTCATTTTCTTGCAATGCGAAAATGAAATTGTACTGAAAGTAAACGCTCTTGAAGCGGCAGATAAACGTCAGTTAAAAGGAGAGACATGATCCGAACAATGTACGACATTGGAAATAGTCTCAGGCTCTATCTCAGCCATCACTCACCCATGCAATGCTCAACCTGTGCTTTCCCACGCTCGCGATGTCCACAAAGATACGAAAAGCGCCACAACATGCTGGCAGGTTATACAAATTTCCAACTCCACAGCCATCTACCAATGTACAAATTTCTGGTCCTGCTCTGTAGCAGCATCCAAATTGTGCTTCAAACAACGGAAGGTTCGTATAAACTATTCCACAGCAACATGAGAGAGTAATTCCTGTCCGAGCGTGTCGAAAGTAGCTCCCCAATCAAGATAAAAATCACTCTAATCAATGATACTAGCCTAAACCAGCTGACTCCTAACACAATTCTGTTCGATGTACGCCGCCATTTGCAACGAGGGGCACTATTGCTTCTCCAGCTGTATTTATCAAAATGAATGCAAGGCATCTTCGTCGTCGACAAAAGATTCAAAAATTGACAACACGAGCCTGCAATTGCAACCACTTATATGATGAGGATAGAGCGCACGCCACAAGGAGCAAATCTAAATGACTATCGATTGTGAATCGAAGAGAATAGCATCGAAATTACAGCAGAAACAAGAGAGAATAACAAAATACGTGCGGATCACACAGAAAAAAGTGTGGACCCTGGACACATTTGCCTGGAATACTTTGACAACGCTACCCAACAACACAAGTGCACACTGCAGAGGGGAGAGGGGGGGGGGGGGGGAATCCGGAGTCGTGCCCCAAAAATGGAATTAAAATAACAAGATCAGAAGCTACCCATGGAGACTCGATTCTTTTGGAGATTACAGATATATGCTTTCTCAGACACCATGGAAGCTCAATAAGGAATACTAAAAAAATTGGGGTCAATTTGCCTTAAACCACTTCAACTCTGGGGGTATCATAACTTTTAAAGAAAAACTTTTAGAAAGTGACATTCCACTAACCTGAAAAATAAAAATTTGGCTCAACGCTATTTCATTTTGACATTCCAATTCTCAATGGTGTCAAGGGGCAAATTGCAACAAAATGAGTAGTCCAAAGTGAAAATTAAAGCGAGTGAATAGTTCATGGGGCCAATCTAAACAATTTCCCGTAGATCATATGCTGAAGAAGCCTCATCATACACTGAAGGAGTATTCTAGTGAAAAAACCTCAAACGGTAGCTTGGTAAAGTACAAGCTTTTAGAATTTAGGGAGCTAAGATATTGGAGATAAACAGAATTTCCAAAGGACTCGCCTTCACTTTCGGTTTGACAGCAAAGGCTGTGTGGGGAACTGTTGAGTGGAACATTGTTAAAACAAATCAAATGCCGTGTAGCTTGCTCTAATGAACGTAGATAAATCTACCTCAAACTAGAAAAATTTGAAAGTCAAGCCAATACTGAGTGAAACTACCGAAAGACTTCTGCCCTGCCCCAAATAACCGTGCTATTTGCACCTTGAAAAACCAGGAGGAACAAGTGCAAAAAGCTGACAACTATTTTCCTCGTTGGGTATGTAGGAGCGCGCCAGGAAAAAAAACCACCAAATCATTTGTCTCGTCTAAAAAAAAGTACTGATTTAAGAGAAGTATGAAATATTAGGATAGCAAATCTGGCGCCAAGAAAGTATTTTGCATGTCTACAACCGTTTATAGTGAGAAGGTGTTATTCAAAAGAAAAACAAGGCAAGAAAAGTCAAAACTGTACTGTCGGAAGAAGCTTTCTCAACTCTTCTATGTGTGGCAACTTGTTCACCTTCAGTGCAATCCATTAAGAAGATTAATCTAAGAAACCTCAGCCAACCACAGGACTGGAAAAGTTTCAAATTAACCTTCTTGGATGAGAAATACTGAAGCAAGATAATTTCTAAAACTCCAGGAATGATGAGCGAATATCTAAATCTCCAAACTGGGGATCTTGAAATAACAAATGGCCAGCGCGAATAAATCTACAGCCAAAGACCAACGTGAAACTTCTATTAGTAAGGGTGCTCAACATTTTATGTGTGCGTGCACCATTGTTAGCGCGCACTTGAGTGAAAAGTCTAACTCCCTAATAAAGATATGCTTAGCTACCATCAAAATACTTTACAATAAATTTTTGAAGTCCTAAATACAGTCAGGGAAATGGGCACAAACCTAAATATAACCATGAGAAAGAGAACGGATAATAAACCAAGCTTCACCATGCGATACTTTTTCTCAGTCCCAAGAACTCTAAATACTTCAGTCACATCAATTAGATGCCGCTGCTTTATGTACCTATATAAAGAAAGGAACCATAAAGGAGATAATGGCACAGACATAAATAGATATTCTTTCTTTTATAAGTAGCAGACAGAAACAAATGTACGTAGATATTATGGCTATTCACTAACAAATTACCACAACCAGAGCATATTTTGAGATTTTCCATTTAACTTCTACTTTTCTCGCTGTTACCACATTTTTATTCATTGAGCCATAAAATACCCCTTTTCACCTTGTGTGTTTAAGCAAAACAGTAGATTCATCTCTCCATGTCCACGAATTAGAATAGAACAATTTCAACAAATATTCTCATGGGAGCACAGAAATGCAGGAAATAAAAATGTTTCATGCGAGAGAAACATTTAGGCAATGAATGTTTAGACACATTAGTGCACGGATACAAAGACATAAGCACCACATGTGATAGATATGTCCACACACATTGATTCTCTGATTAATTCCTCCTGTTTCTCCATCCAAATGTGCCGATATTTTGCTAGCATAGGCATGGCACATTGCACATTGCTACGATGAGGTCATCAATCTTTTGGTTGGCCATTTTTCAGAAGAATTGGACAAACTGATTCTTTTTGTCCCATTCAGAGCCAAGACCAACCAGAAATGCTATTTGTCTCCAGTACTGATTGAAGAGAGAGTATTCTTCTCATTGAAGACAGATTAACTCCAGAACAATTTGAGGTTTCGACAGAAAGGTTCAACTGACAAGCTTTCATGAAGCAAGAAAACTTCGATTGTTTTGATGTGATTTAAGTATTAATGATGATTGGAACAAATTCATTATATCTCACAATACAACAGTTCAAAACTCCAGGTAGAGTTTTCTCAGAGAAAACAAAGGAACAATAACAGACATGGCAAGTGCGTAGTGAAATGGTTGGATAAATCAGGTATAAAGGCTACATGGGTTTTGGAGGGAATATAAAGAAGATTGATTCAAAGATATCTCCTAAAGAAGTTAAATTCTTCACATTCAAGCTTGATCTTTTCCAACGGGGGAGAATGATGCATGAGCGCAATTCTATTTTAGTAGTTTTAAATGCCTCTTCTTTATTTAGTCTTTTCACGTGTTATTTTAGGCTTATAAGTGGTCATATGATGATCATTTGAATGTTTAATTAGGTCTGATGGTTGAGATTAGAAGTTGTAATTTAAGATGAAGGGTTGAGATCATCTTTCGCCTGTAACCCTAGTAGCATATATAGGCCTTTAAGTCTCTTTGACATTAGCATTCTTCATTCAATAAACATCATCTTTCATAAACCCTAAAATATCTTTTCTCTGATCTAACTTCAACTCAGCTCTATTTTAGCCTTTTCTTTTTGCCATCTTTTACTTCTTTGACTATGTCAATTGGTATCAGAGCCCCTTGTTAGGGTCTTTCCCTACATCAGGTACTCCCTCAACTTTTGATATTCCGAGGTATGATGACATTAGCTTAGGGAATGGTGTTTTCGAGACCAGATGGGAGTGAATTATAGGGTAAGAAGGATTGACCAGATGTAAAAAGATCTACAGCAGTCCTACTATTACTGTTAAAGCCGTTGCTATACCACTAATATGTCTATTCTGCCCATGGGTAATAGAGATAGAGTTTGACTTCGGGTGAGAAGAAGAGATCCCGACCTAATATCAATGCTCTCATACTGATTTCAGGACAAATTCAGGTTTTGCTATTGCTTCTACATATATGATGACTTAAATATACTTATATTCTGAGTTCAGTGCCGCAAAAATCTGGAATCTACATTAGTGCAAGATTGACAATGGCAAGTTGATCCTTGCAAGTATGAGTATGCTATAGACCTCACATAACTAACAGCAGCAATTCATGCCCAGGTATTCAATTAGAGTTGTAACCCTGAGGAACTAACTAAGGTGATCGCCCTTCTTTTTAGATGCCATAGAGAACAAACACATTTCCAAACTGCAGAGAGGGTTTCAACCCACCAAATGGTATTCTGCTGAGCAAACTCTCATTTGAATAATCAAAGCACGTGTTTGGTTATTTACCTTTTTTGGGCAGCATATACATATTATTGAAAGGGCAGATCTCTACAAAAGCTTCTAAAACGGGTTTGGGTTTGGAGATAAACATATCTTTTTTGCCACATAGACAGGTTTATTTCCTTTCACAAATATAACTCCCCATCTCTTCACTGAGAAATGGGAGGCGATTCGGGGTTCTTAAAGCTCTAAAGGCTCCTAAATTTTCTTTAGAAATGCTCGTAACCTAAAAAGGATAATGGGCTCATTGCAAGTACAAAGTGCATCAACAGCATGACATTGTAGGAGAATAACGCAACTGAAGTTCATTTAAGAGGAAAAGAAACGATAGGAAAGGAAAGGTCAAGATAAAACGATACTTACAGCATGACGTGATAACAAGTAACAGGGACTGAAACTAGAAACATGAACCAATGCCCAGTCATCAGTAGAAGCGCGCTGAGAACTCCTTGTAAGATAAAATCAGGAAGGATCAACCCGTTGATCCGAGACGCCGCTTCGTACATGTTGATGTAGTCCGCCTCCAGATCAGATAATATCAGGATCTACAAAACATTCAAAACAGCAACGGAGTTACCATTCTGAGGCTTCAACGCAATTTTTGCGGGTCTTCAACAACAACAACATGCTAAAGTCAGATGCACACCATTAGACTTTACAAGCTCATGAGCAAGCAAGCCAGGAAGAAAAAAAAAATCAAACAAAGCAAAACAAAAGAGAAAGCTCTAATGACTTAGAATCTCTCGACATCCATGAGTTACTGGAGAAATAGCTTCATCGAAGCTACACATTCGGCGTCGCGATGTCGAGGAAACCATCACCGGTGCTCTATTCCCCGAGCAAGTTCATTCCCCCATCGATTTTAGCAAGGCGACCTACTGCACCGACCGATTGAACTCTCGGACGTCGATGAATCAGTAGGCGCTAGGGTTTCTAGGCAATCCTTCCTACTCCGGTTCGCCCAGGTCGCGACCTCAACCGGCGAACCGAGCTTGAAAAGAAGGAGAAAAAGGAGAAAACCTAAACAGCGCCATCGCCCGACGAAACGAAGTCGCGAAGCAGCAAATCCCGTCGAGCCACGCGACGCGACGCGACGCGGGCGAGCGAGCGAGCGAGCGGGCGGCGGCTCGTCGGAGCGCAGAAAGGAAGGAGCGATGTCGGGTTCCGGTACCTGATAGAAGGTGGAGGCGAAGAGGACAATGTTGATGACGAGGAAGGTGACGGCGAGAATCAGAGCCCACGCCATGGCTTGCGCGAGGTCGAAGGTCGGTGGCGAGCGGGATGAAGAAGAAGCTTTTCCGGTGCTCTTCTTCTTCTCTCTTTCCCTCCCGAAAGCCAAAAACGATGGGCAGGGGAAGCTTTTCCACACGCTGCTGCGTTTTTCTTCTGTTTTTCCCTTCGCTCTCGCTGCTCGGTCCACTTCAAAGACGATGTTAATTAAGATCCGAAGATTAATTTAAACGGGACTGACATTAGAGACAATTTTTTTTTTAACCTTCGATTTTGATGGAATTAGACACTTAATTTAAGTATTACCTCGACTGTGTTCTAAAAATATAAAAATTTTGGATAGAGGATTGAGCCCGCAATCCTTGTTGGGTTTACTTGGATCGGCGATCCATGCGCGCCGCGTCGGGAGTCGGACGTATTGAATGGCATTTGAAGTGATGTTTACTAGGATATTCCAAGCTTGGCGCTCGATTAAAATTCGATCAATCTCGATTTCTTGGGCCATCACAGGTCAATTCGATTGGATCTGGCTCGGTTATAAAAAAAAAAAAAATTTAGAGCCATGTCAAGTCCAATATAATCGAATAAATTTCGTCAAAGGTATGGTACCATGTATAAAGAAAAAGTTAAAGAGTGCTTATTGGGCACTGATTAAGCTTTTTATTAAAGGTGTTTTGAAAAATTTAGAATTTACTATACGTAACAAATTACTTAATTGAAGATGTGCAATTCATCCATTTTGAAAAATATATTTAAAAGTGTTAATTTGTATATTTAATAAATTAATTAGTACCTCATTTATCATCGGGACCTGGGCTGCTTGATTTTAGTATTCTCAAGTTTAAGCTATAATTACTCTAGCTTAGAATGCGTTTATTTTGTGAAAATATATAATTTGAAAAATATTTTCTTGAAAAAATATCGCTTGTGTAATTACAAAAATAAACGAACAAAAAATATTATTATCGTTTACTGCTGTCGATATTTAAAATATTTTTTATTGATTAATTATTTTAAGTAATATAGATAATAATTTTTAAAATATTATTATGAAAATAATTTAGTTTCTGCAAAACAAATACAGGATAAATAAATGGCGCAAATTCTAATTCTCAAGAGCTAAACGACAGTGCGTTTTCGGAAAGCCCGTACGACCACCTTAGCTTCACCGTCACTGGGAAGCCCGGTGACGCTTCCGCCGCACATTTCGGCGCTCACGTAACAATTCCCTTCGTCGCGCAATGTTCTCCGACTAAACCAGCTCGAATATAAGGAAGACATTCGGGTACTGATTCCTTGCTTCAGCTCTTATCAAGAATCACTACCTTTAATCAACCACGAGTTTTTATCTTCCTTCGAACGCGGATTAATAAATGCGCCCACCCCCCCCCTCGTTTTCCTCGTTTGGGTTTTTCTCAAATTTCTTTTTGCTGCTGGAGGCGGTGTTGTGGGTGGCTTGATCTGGTATCAAGTTTGAGTTTTTGCATCGTCTGCTTCTTCGAAGCTTGTTCTGATGATGTGGGGTTTTTGAATTTGTATGGGGATTTTGAGCTTCATTGGAGGTACGGTTCTCTGGTGATCTGCTGTCAAATGCCTGTGATAAGGGCTCTGTTAGGGGAAAGCAGAATGTGTTCTGGGATTATGGATCTATAAGTGCTCTGAATTAGACAAACTGAACATCTAGGGAATTGTTAGAAATCTTGTTGAGGCTATAGTTGGCTGTCGGGGCAAGAAGGGCCGCTTATAATTGGTTAGGTGGAGATTGGCTCACGATCTTGTGGAAGCTCTGGTTGTACTTGTATTAGCTATATAGATATGGATTGTCTGTGCGTGCTGGGCTTTTTTAGTTAGATTGACTTGGGATTTTTTCTCTGGTGAATATGGTAGAGTCAGTGTAAAGGAGGTGAGGCTTATGCATTATTTGTAGCTGTCTTTTTTTCTTCAAATATGTTTGAATAAGCTCATTTTTGGAAATAAGCAGCTGGTGCTTATTTTTGTTCATTTCTCGTGTGACTGGAACTGTTTTCGTGAAACTTGATGAATTCCTAGTAGATATATGCGGTTCACACTTTCAGGGCTTGACGGCCAAGATGATTAGAAATTACATGGTTTTCAGGTTCGCCGGTAACAACAGCTTCAGCTGTAATTATCAGTAACATGTTTTGCACTGTGTAGCTTGGTACGCGAGATTACAGTAATTGGAGATTGATCCACTTTTAAAGGTTTGCATTCTGCTTGTGTGACAGGCAATGCCAAAATGATTGCTTGCTCCTCTCTGATAACTTGTCCAAAGTATGTTTTACGCTTAAGTGGTCGCATTTGTGGACAGATGGGGAGGAGTATTTGTGATATGACGCCTTCCAGTGCATTCTTTCATGTGTTTTCTGGGTATTCCAGGCCAAAGTATATCTCTCTGAATGGATCTGAAGTGCCGACCTGTGTAAATATTACTGGTTTTAAAGGGGGCCAGGGTGGATTTTTTGGTTCCTGTATCTCCAAGCATAGGCGGGTCGTACGGTCTTTAGTAATTAGAGATCCAGTTGGTGTTACAATACCTCAAAAAGGACACGTTTCAATATCAACAGTATGTGACAGAATGAATGCCAAACTCTTGTTTACAAAGCGAGGGATGCCTAGTGAAGTCAGATATAGTGTTCGCCGCATTTCTTGGTCTCGAGGGCGTGCTTCTGCTGGTTTGCTTCTTGGGCTATTGGTTTGTTATTCAAGTTTTGAACCAGTGCATGCTGAAGCAGCCAATGATAATGGGAAAGAGGAAAATTGCGAGGACTCGTCATATGCTAAAATTTCGCATGGGAAGAAAGTGTATACCGATTACTCTGTCACTGGTGAGAGTTGCACTCTAGTTATGCTGTTCTTCTTAGTTCTGAGTGCCATGTTGAAGTTGCCTTTTCAACGTGGATTCTCCTGAATGCACGTATAAAATAATAGATGACAACTTCATGCTATGCAGGCATACCTGGAGATGGCAGATGTTTATTTCGTTCTGTAGCTCATGGGGCCTGTCTTCGGTCAGGAAGACCAGCTCCAAGCGAGAGCCTTCAGAGAGAACTCGCAGATGAATTACGGAGTTTGGTGGGTCTTTATCCCCTCTCCATATGGCTGAAAATTTCTTTCACTGCAAAATAAGATTGCTTACCGATCAGCATTGTCAAATTTGAAAATCACAATCTGGATTTCAACTCTTTCCTAGTGCAGTTTTGTGATTGCTGGGCTCGTTATCTTTCTGGAGATAGGAATTTCAATGTTTAGGCTAAATTTTTCTCTTTGAATGCATCTTTCTTGGGATGACGCATCCAAGATGATTCCTCTGTCAGTGTTCTGTGAGCTGAAATCATATGTAATATGAAGGTCTCGTGATGAATAGTCTGCTTTACTTTTCAGGTTGCGGACGAGTTCATCAAAAGACGGGAAGAGACAGAATGGTCATCTAATCCAAGTTTCCGAACTTCTCTAAAAATTGTTGGAGTTGTATCTGATAAAGTCATGTTGTGCACAGGTTTATTGAAGGTGATTTTGATACATATATCTCGCAAATGAGAAAGCCACATATATGGGGAGGTGAGCCAGAATTGCTCATGGCATCTCATGTTCTCAGGTCTCTCTCTCTCTCTCTCTCTCTCTCTCTCATGCGCGTACACGCTTTTTTGTGACTTGTGCATGATGTGTGCTTGTGTTCCAAATGCATGCTTGCTTGCTTGAGTACAGATGATAACTTTCCTGTATTGCCCATTGCCCATCAATTTGTTGGTGTCCACGCAGACAGGCACGATGCCCATTTTCATGTGTACCCGTGGAAATCTGCGACATACTATTCTTTCATTGAAGCGATCTCTTTCTGCTTGATGTCTTTTTTTCATAACTTTTTAGCTGACGTGCTGGTGTTCATTCAGTTGTCATGCCAGTAATATTTGGTTACTTATTCAAAAACATACATTTTGACACAGCTGCCTTTGAAAGACTTGTTGATTCAGTAATGACATAGTTTCAGAGAGCTGAGTTCGATAGTCTTGTTGATTTCGGTAATTTTAGGATGCCTATCACGGTGTACATGTATGATAAGGATGCTGGAGGCCTTATATCAATAGCCGAGTATGGCCAAGAATACGGCAAAGAGAATCCCATTAGAGTTCTTTACCATGGTTTTGGCCACTATGAAGCTTTGCAAATTCCTGGCAAGAAGGATGTGAAGTCAAGACTCTGACTCTCAGCACAATGAAAGGTACGCTTCTACTAAAAGGTTTTATATGAATGACTATTTTCTTTTGGAAAGCAAGCTCCACAACCTCATTCATTGTTGTTTTACTTATGGGCAAAAGAGAATTAGTTGAGCATTATTAATCTCTGAAATTTGGTATGTTAGGTATGTACTATAAAGCCCGAAGCATTTACTTGAGGAGAACGACAGCCTTGTGTCACGGTCCCGAGGTAGTGGGCGTTGCATGATACCTAAGTTTGGATATCAATCGGTCCAAGAGCAGCGCCGTGTGATCTTTCGAGGTAGAAAAAGTAGAATCTTTTCCTCATATGGAAGACAATTCTTGTTTTTTTTTCTTTTTTTTTGGCCGGTTGAAGACAATTCTTGTTACAGATTAGAGAATGTAAGTGGGAAAGTTCCTGTAATAGCACAAGCAGGTCTACGCGGACGACCAAAAGCATATGATTAACCAAAATCCAGAAGGATGATTTGGTTTGGTGGATAGGGAAGTAGTTTCAAAGTGGTCCATTCTCTCTCTCTCTCTCTCTCTGTAGGAGCAAAGTGTCCCATATTATTTGCCATCAAGCCCATCCCAGAAGTGCCTTTTGGCGATTCCGCTCCATATATTTGTTACCCTTCAAACTTTTAAGATTCTGTTCCTTCTTTTCTTGTCCATTATGATTCTTTTATCTTGGCACACATTGGACCTGAGAGTTCAAGCTATCTGCTACTCTAACAAGACTCCACATCGAAATACAAAGTTCTACGTCAATTTTCGATGCGTGACTTTCACTGTGCGAAGCCTTCTGTGAGCTTTATGCTTCGAGCTCTATAGACCTGCGTTTCCCGTTACTTAATAGAAAATGCGTGAGAGCTCAACGGCTGATATGCGAGTCCTAAGTGAGTTATCGTCGAGAATGAGCTCGGGCTTCATTAGATGCAGGAGTTATCAAGCTTGAATTCCTGACTAGTCATCTTGAGCCGACCGGATCAGCTGGTTGAACCGGACACCAATCTGGCCATGGCCTCTCTGTATAGTCTCAATTCCTTTTCGCATTCAAATCGCAAAACTAATGGTAATTCGAACTGAACTGAAACGGCAGCTTTCCACCACAAAGCATGGTCCTATTGCTGAAATGATTTTTCTGACACCGTAAAAAGCAAAAGAAGCCCGACTTATTCGACCACTTTGCGACGAATGGCCCAAAAAAAGCAGCACTTTGTAACCAGCTTTATCCCTTTTTCGATTTGAAGTTCCTCAAAAACCCCTACTCGTTAGCTTAGCCAATCTCCTAGTTTTACCACACAATACGACCCTTGTTCACCGAAGTGGCGGTTAGAAAATGTTAGGAAAAACGTACCAAAAAAATTTTAAATTTATTGCATTTGAATTAATTCAATCCTAAATTTTTCAATTAGACAAATTAAATCCAAAAATTTTTCATATTAATATCAATTCAGTTTATCCGGCCAATTTAGGCTGGAAATCATTGACGTAGATGCCAAGCGTCAGACGTTGAAGCGACCGGTGTTGACGTTGACATTATTAATAATATTTTAATTTTTTCTTCAAAAATGAAGGAAAAAGAAAGAAAGAATAATTATAAATAATAAATAATTGCAAAAATATTATTAAAAATGGCCACGTTAGCTTCGACTGCGTCACATAGGACAACCAACGTCAACATCAGCGATTTTCCGATCTAAATTGGCCTAGTGGACTGAATTGGTGCCAAAGAGATGAGGTTTAGGACTACATTTATCTTATGGAAAAGTTTAGGATTTTTTTGGTACTTTTCTAAAAATGTTATGCGCTTGTATCCATCGCAGCTTTAATATTCCATGTAAAATTTGTATACTTTTCCAATGTGTGCTTTTTATGTGATTTCATGATTATAAGTTGATGCGCTTTTGTCTATTAACACGGGATAGAAAGAATTTATCGGTTGTCATCGATATACTGAACATTATGGTCGATGTTATAAAATCAAGGGATATGTGCAATGGAAGTTATAAAACTTATCACGAAAGTGCAATTGAGTCTTCAAACTTACAAAAAGTACAATAAAGTCCTAAAACTTGTCAAGCTTATTCAATCAAGTCCTTCAATCAATTCAGTCCAACTTAAATAATGGAAAGGGCCGACGTGTCTTATTTTATTATTTTTTCGCGAGACACGTGGCAATGATGTGGCGCCCACTAAGTGCCACGTCAGAAAAATTTTAAAATATAAGCTAAATTAGTAAAAAAAAACTCACAGCAATCGGTTGTGTCCAAGCCCTCACTGGTGGTCGCTACCACAGCTGCCAAGAAGGGCTGGCAGAGATCGCTTGGGCCTTCAGGTGACCTCTTGCCAGTCCCCGGCGAGGGCTTGCAGACTTAGATTTGGGGGAGGGTATGACCCTCGCCTGGGGCTGGGTAGGGCCAGCAAGGCCTTGCCTAAGGTGGGCGATGCTCAGCCAACCTTGGGCGAGGATCGCGCCCTCTCCCAGATCTGAGCTTGCAAACCCCTGCCAGGGACCAGCGGGACCTCGCCCGAGGCCAATAAGGGTTGTCGAGCTTCGGGAAGGCCTAGGCGACCTCCGCCATTTCGTCGCGGCGGCCACCGACGAGAGCTCCACAACAGTTGGTTGAGTTTGGTTTTTTTTCTTTTTTAGCCTTTTTATTTAATTTAGTTTATGTTTTCGAATAATTTTTCTGACGTGACGCCTACCATATGCCACATCATTGCCATGTGTCTCAATAATATAACAAAAAATATACGTCAGCATTTTTCATTAGTCTAGTTGGACAGAGTTAACGGAAAGACTTAATTAGACTAACTTGACAAGTTTTAGGATTTGATTGCACTTTTTGTAAGTTTTAGGACTCAATTGTACTTTCGCGATAAGTTTTAGGACTTATAATAAACATATCCCTATAATCAAAGCTAAATCCTATTTAATTTAGGAATAAATCAACATTTTCAACTTATTCTCTTTGAATGGTCGACACGGTGACAACTAAATACTACAAATTTTAGGTTCGGTTTCATGATCTATTTATTTGATTGGATAGAAAATTTAGCCACACTAGGCTTAAAAAAACTCATAAATACTCTCGTCTCTGTCTATAGTTGCCAACATTGATGTCATGCCTAGCCGTTGTCATCGCTCCCTCGCTCCCGTCATCATCCTTTCGTGGCTAAATCTCTGTCCCTTATGGTCGTGACAATGATAATTAGGCTGCGCATGACAACCATTATGTACCGGAAAACAGATTCTACTCAGAAATTATTCTTTTTTATTCTGTGCCCGGAAATAATTTCTAAGCATTTGAAGGCGTTTGGTAACTGCCCAAAATTTCTATTCTTAGAATAGAAAAAGAACAGAAATGCGTTTGGTAACTACACAAATTTTCTTTTTTATTAATAATATTTTAATAATATTTTAAAATTTTTAATATTTCTTTCTTTTTTTTCCTTGGCCATGGCCGGCGAGGGCCACGATGCCCTCGCCGCCGGCCTCGCCGGTTGCAACGGCGAGGTTGGCCTCGCCAGATCACGGCGAGGTCGAGCCTCGCCCGGCCAAGACGAGGCCGACCTCGCCGTCGCCATCCCTGGCGACGGTGAGGTCGAGCCTCGCCCGGCCATGGCGAGGCCAACCTCACCGGCCCTGGCCGGTGGCCAGTGTCCGGGGGACGGTCACCGGTGGCTGGTCATCGGCGGTGGGCCAGGAATAAGATGAAGAACAAATAAAAAAGAAAGAAGAAATTCAAGAAGAATCAAAAATGAAAAAATTGTTTCAGAATCAAGAAGCTACTTTTTTTTGCTTCTTGATTCTGTTCCAAAACTGATTCTGGAAACAATTTTTTTTCAAATTTGTGCCTGGGCACAAAAATTTTAACAAACGGATTTCTGCTCCCAAACTGATTCTGGGAACAAAAGAACAGAAATTTTTATTATTTGGCAAGTTGTCAAACGCCCCCTCAGTGACACGTTGCGACGGCTGATTATGCAACGTCGAGGAGGAAGAAAACGAAGAGAAAAAGGCAAACGTCAGTAAAAATGGAAAATATAGAAAATGAAATATAGAAAGAGAACGCACAACACTTATTTAATGGCCTAATTTCCTAAAAAATCCCAACTTTATGTCAAGTCCTAAATTTGTCCCGAGCTTTTTTTTATCTCAAAAAAAATTTCGAACTTTAGGTTCAGTCCCAAATTTGTCTCGAATTTTTTTTTGTCTCAGAAAAAACCCAAAATTTTAAGTCCAGTTCCAAATCTGCCCCAAATTTTGTTTTGTGTAAAAAAAACACAAAAATTCAATTTATTTTAAAAAATATATCCCCATGATCCAGTCTCAACTTGACGTGGCACTTTCACGTCGATAACAAGTCCACATCAGCAAAGTAATGGGGCTTCTTTTTAGACAAAGAAAAATTCGGGGCAAATTTGGACCGATTGGGCTTTTTTTAAAATTAATTTTTTTTTGGGGTGTATTTGTTATCATCTCTAACTTTCATATCCTAAAACGGTTTTATTTTGTAGAATTTCAACAATTTTTATTGGGTTGGACTTGTTATCAAAGTGGAAATGCGACGTTGGTATGTACTTATCGCCCCATTACTTTGCTGATGTGGACTTGTTATCAACGTGAAAGTGCCACGTCAAGTTGAAACTGGATCATGGGGGTATATTTTTGAAAATAAATTGAAATTTGCTGATTTTTTTTTACACAAAACAAAATTCGGGATAGATTTGGGACTGAACTTAAAGTTTGGGGTTTTTTTTTTTAGACAAAAGAAAGTTCAGGGCAGATTTGGGACTTGACCTAAAGTTGGAGGTTTTTTTAGGGAATTCACCCCCTTATTTAATTAAATCAACTTCAAAATGGGTAAAATATTAATATTCCTTTTTCAATGAACAAAAAACGGGTGGAGAGAGAGCAACCAGCATGGCCAATCCTCAAAGATCCATGCGTTTGTTTGTTTGTTTGTTTTCTTATTTTTAATTTTTTTAAGGATTTGATGTCTCACAAATTTCAAAGGAAAAGAAGTGGGTAAAAAAGCGAGTGGCCAATTTATACGAGACGGGCGATTGGATTACGGAGGAATGCTAGGGGCCTTTTGGCCAACTTAAAAGGAGTATCGGGTGATCTATGTCCACGGGGAGGCTAAAGTTTTTTTTTTTTTTTTTTATGACCCAGGTCACCCCCGCACGGCTGATAGCCGGGAGGTAAACCCTGGGGGCGACACGTGCTAGCCACCACACACGTACACCGGTTAAGTCACCCTGCGGTACCCGGGATTCGAACACTCAACCTTTTGCGAGAGAAAGAGTGCGCGCTCCAGCAGCGCCACCCAGTCGGGTGGTCGGGGAGGCTAAAGTTTGTGCCGATTGAATTGTAAAAGCCCAAAAAATAGAGTCTTTCCCTTCTAATTGGCTCTCTGGGTCGTCTCGTTCCTTTTCGGATTTGTTGTGTTTAGATGCTAATGGTCGTGGCTCTCCTATTTTTGTCAAAATTTGGAACGTTATAATTTAATGCGTGACTGGCGGGACTGGGCCATTCACGTTCGGACATTCCTTAATATGGAAATGGCGAGATGACGTGAAAGAGGAAATGACCGAGACTCGACGGCATATAATACGACCCAGGTACAATACAACCCAAAAATGTCAATGTTGAAACCAGGCTCATTTCGGGAACAACTCCATCGTCAAACTGTCCCGTTCCAAAAAATGGAGGTTGTTTTTAAGATCCCACCATCGCCAACGTCTCTTCCTGCGTCTGTTGGCTTTACCCCCGAAAGATGCACGGGACAACAACGCACCCTCTGCCCTCGGTCCACGGGCAGATCTCTTTTTCCTTGTCCTGTTTCCATTTCTTCTTCTCCTGTTTTATATTCGACAGAGTTTGAATGCGTTTAATTTAATCTCTCAGGAGAGATTTAATAAGGGCGATCCCGGACAGGAAACGGAAGCACCCCCCCACTCGCTCACACGCTCACGCTGCGGGAGAGTATACTGTACAGGTCACTGCTCCTCCTGGTCACGAGAATTCAAACTTGAGAGACAGAGCTCAAGCACCCCCCACGTTCTCTTTCCCTCTCTGCCCACCTCGTAATCCACCAAATCTCTAATTACAAGTTCAAATCCAAGCACTACCCTCCAAATCCTCGCTCCTCGCACTCCACCCTCCTCCTCCCTTCCTCTTCTTCTTCTTCTTCTTCGCGTTCACGAGACTTCTTCTTCGTCTCTTCCCCTGTTTTTGCTCTCTCTCTCTCTCTCTATCTCTGCAACTCCTCGTTGCACCCAAAAACACCACATGCATGGACCATTAACAAATTGATCTCTCTTTCTCTCCCACCCTTTATCAAGTGCGACAGGATGCCATCCTCAACAATGCCCGCATTGCCACTCCGTCTCCCCGTCTCTTTGCTCCTCCTCTGCTTCCTCTGCTTCCTCTCTCCGCCGTCCGCCTCCGCGCTCACCCCCGACGGCCTCTCCCTCCTCGCCCTCAAGGCCGCCGTCGCCTCCGACCCGACCCGCGCACTATCCTCCTGGTCCGAGTCCGACCGTAGCCCCTGCCGCTGGACCGGCGTCGCCTGCGCCCGCGGCCGGGTCGCCTCCCTCTTCCTCGCTGGCAAGAACCTCTCCGGCTACATCCCCTCCGAGCTCGGTCTCCTGGGCTCGCTCAAGCGGCTCAACCTCGCCGGCAACGACTTCTCCAAGCCCATCCCCTCCCGCCTCTTCAATGCCACCTCCCTCTTCTCTCTCGACCTCTCCCGAAACTCGCTCTCCGGTCCGGTCCCGACCCAGATCAAGAACCTCCGCAACCTCACCCACTTGGACCTGTCCTCCAACTCGCTCAACGGGTCGCTCCCCGAAGCGCTTGCCGAGCTCGGGAGCCTCTCCGGGACGCTGAACCTGTCGTACAACTGGTTCTCCGGCGAGGTCCCGGCGTCGTACGGCCAGTTCCCGGTGATGGTGAGCTTGGACCTGGGGCACAACAACCTCACCGGCAAGATACCCCAGGTGGGCTCGCTGCTGAACCAGGGCCCCACGGCGTTCGCCGGGAACCCGGGGCTCTGTGGGTTCCCGCTCTCGGCGCAGTGCCCGGAGGCGCAGGATCCGAGGGCGTCTGGGCCGGAGGACCCCGAGGGCCCCAAAACGAACCGCTTTCACAGCACGCTAGCCGGCGACGATGGGATGCCTCAGAAGAGGAGAAATTCGCTCGTGATACCGGTTCTTTCCGGGCTCACAGTGATCGCGGGGGTGGTTTTCGCGTCGGTGTGGTTCGTCCGGAGTAAACGCGGGAGGTTCGGGAGAGACGAGACGGGGAAGGAGAAGGCGGCGGTGATGGTGGAGGAAGCGGCAGAGCTGGAAGGGCAAAAGGGTAAGTTCGTGGTCCTGGACGAGGGGTTCGATATGGAATTGGAGGACTTGCTGCGGGCGTCGGCCTACGTGGTAGGGAAGAGCCGGAGTGGGATCGTGTACAAGGTGGTGGTCGGACGAGGCAGCAGTGGCGGAGGCTCCGCGGCTGCGGCGGGGCAGGCAGTGGCCGTGAGGAGGCTGAGCGAGGGCGACGCGGCATGGCGGTTCAAGGAGTTCGAGTCCGAGGTGGAGGGGATCGGTCGGGTGAACCACCCGAACGTCGTCCGGCTGAGAGCTTACTACTACGCCAGCGACGAGAAGTTGCTGGTCTCCGACTTCATTCGCAACGGGTGCTTGCACTCCGCATTGCACGGTAACCTTCCTCCGCACCTGCTCTCCACATTTTCATGGCGTTTCTTGCTTGGGTACGACTCACGTGGATGTTTTCGTTTTCCGCATTTTAATTTAGCACAATTACATCACTTTGTGGATCTTCTGCACATGATGCTGCTCAAGCTAAACTAAGTCAAAATTGCTTTGCCTAGGACTGTTCGATTCCGACTCAGAGTCCACGGATGAATATTGGTTATACCTTAGAGCACGAGTGAGCCCACCCGTTATGCTCTGTTAATTGTGGTGGGCTTGCTGCGCAGCTAGCGTTAGAATATTTAAATATTAAATCAAGTATTCATTTAACAACTTTTAATAGAGTTGGAGCGGTTTCACAAAAATTTTACATGATATCTTGAACTTTTAGAACAAATATACAGTTGGGTGTCGACATTAGCATTTCTACCGATGGTTGTGGTTTCTGAAGCATGTAATGGATGAAGGGTTGTCGTTGCTGCAAAATTTCACTCGGGAAACTTGTATAAGAAAATATCGGATCGGCTTATTCCTGCTAGTACCTTGGAAGACCACGTTATCAGAGTTAGGTGCTTCTTTTGTATCTTTTTATCAGTAGAAATGGTGTGGCCTCAGTCCTTTAACCTGCATCTGCTGTGGTCTCTCGCGATGGTTGTTTGACAATCTGTGTTTAATGGCATGCCCATAGCTCTCAATCTCAATGTGTATATGTCCGTTAGAAAAGGCTAGTTATTTCATGTCATGATGTTGGAGAATCTTAATTTTTGTGACAGCATTCTTTGGCACCTTGTGTCAAGCTCCAACTTGCACACGGACAACATTAAATGTCTTCCGAGTGAAACGCCAGTCGTATTCTTTTGCTTTCGTCTAAACAAGCATGCCCATAGCTCTCAATTTCAATGTGTATATGTCCGTTAGAAAAGGCCAGTTATTTCATGTCATGATGTTGGAGAATCTTAGTTTTTGCGACAGCATTCTTTGGCACCTTGTGTCAAGCTCCAACTTGCACACGGACAACATTAAATGTCTTTGGAGTGAAACGCCAGTCGTACCCTTTTGCTTTCATCTAAACAAGATTGCCGAGTTCAAGAGGCCATCTGCCTCCACTTCCTTTGACTGTTTGCTCCACCTAAATAACACGATGGTAATATCAATTCGTTCTCTGTGTTTTCTGTTGCTCTTAAGACATAAAAAGCTCAAGCCTCTTCTGGTAAAATGGGAATCACCGAACTCATTTTTCACCTCAGCGTAGGGTCAGGCTTTTGCTGGTGGCGACAATTATAAAAGTTCACATGCATGATTTGTCTCTCCCTTCATTTGTGTCCCTAAAGCACCTTCCTGAAATTCTACTGACCTTGGTTGATGCCTGTATCGAATTTTGTTTGTAAGTGATGATGCCGTCACATGCCATTGACTTTCATCTGGGCATAGCTAAAGATGCCAACTTTGTGAAACCAAAGATGCCGTCTTGTGATCATGTTCTTTTGGATCTAGCCAAAATTTGCGTGCCTTTATGTTTATGGTGCCTTTCTGGCTTCTCTCTCTGTGGACTTGAGCGAATCGTCCATTTCCTGTCCGTTCATGATTGTTTTCGAGCACCCAACAGCTTGCCTGCCACCTTCAAAAAATTTAAAGCAGGTTGCTGTTGTCCTCGCTGAGTGTTGAATGTGGATGACCCACTCGCTGCACACGCACCTACCATCACAAGTGAGGAAGACGGACGGGGCATGTGCTCAGCACTACTAATTTGCGCGTAACAACGAGTTGCTGCACACAACCGGTCTGAAACGCATAGCATTGTATCTGTTTGTCGTGCAGTTGCATGTTAATTTCCGCTGGTAGTCATTTTTTGATAAATGTCTCAAGGTTGTAATAGAACCTTAGCTGCTGCTACGATTTTTCGACAGGGGAACCATCTAAGAGTTCACCGCCGTTATCGTGGGCGTTGAGACTAAAGATTGCTCAAGGAACTGCGAGGGGCTTAGCGTACATACACGAGCACAGTCCTCGGAAGTATGTCCACAGGAACCTGAAATCCACGAAGATCCTCCTCGATGATGAATTCCAGCCTTACATATCCGGATTCGGTCTCAGTCGTCTTATCTCGGGGACTCCAGGATTCACTGCCTCATCGTCCAAGAAGCACAGCTCTAATAACCAAACCGTCTTAAGCTCCGCAATGGAGCTGAAGATGACAGCTCCCTCGGTCGCTTACTTGGCGCCCGAGGCCCGGGTATCCGGCACCAAGGTCACCCAGAAGTGCGACGTGTACTCCTTCGGCATCGTGCTGATGGAGATCCTGACAGGGCAGATGCCGGACGCGGGGCCCGAGAACGATGGGAAGGGCCTGGAGAGCCTCGTGAGGAAAGTGTTCCGGGAGGAGCGACCCATGTCCGAGATAATAGACCCGGACCTCCTGCACGAGGTCCATGCGAAGAAGCAAGTTGTCGCCGCATTTCATGTCGCGCTGAATTGCACGGAGCTCGACCCGGAGCTGCGTCCTCGGATGAGGACGGTCTCTGAGAGCCTGGACCGCATAAAGGTCCGCTGACGGCTCGGGAGATGAAAGTGAAGCTGCGGAGCTTCGTTTCGAGTTCCCAAAGAAGCATTTTGTAAAATCATCAGTGCTCTCTTCCTATGGTTTGTAAAATCTGTAGCTGGACTTTCCTTATGGTGGAGGGTTTTTAACCCGTAGAAGAAGTGTCGTGGTTCAATCTTAGGTTGACTTGACCTTGAAGTGATATTTTGTTGCGGGTCTTCTGCAGATTTAATCAGCAGCGTTTTTGTGGGCTCCTGGTCCTGCTTTCTTTGAGCAAACGTTGGCATGAATAGAATTTGTATCTTATTTTTCACTTCTATCTTCTTATTTATTTTGGGGTATTATCCTGAACTTTGGCCTGATGTAAAATGTGATTTCTAAATTTTTGATTTTTTCAATATAATCCTTGGACTTTTGGTATGTATTTATTTGAGTCCCTAAACTATATTGTATTATCATTTCATTAATTCAAGTTCAGGACAACATTGAATATTTTCACAAATTCCATGGACTAAATTGAACATGAATCAAAAGTCCAAAGATCATACTGCACAGCGAAATTAAGTTCAGGAGTCATATCGAACAAATTAAAAATTCAGGGATCACGTTGTCAGGTTAAAGTTCAAAAAGCAATTTATGTCGATTTTTTCATTTATTTTCGATCGAGAAAATTCGACTATTTCTTGACCTATAGGACGAGAGGTCAATGGTCGCTCCAGGCGCATGTCCACGTGGACGGGGCCGGGTCAACCAGACGACGACAGCTCAACCATAACGGGACCCACGACTTTCGGGCGGCTGTTCTCGCGATTCTTCACCGTTTCGAATTTTGAAATCCACCGAATCCGACACGACTAAACATGCCACATCGGTCGTCGACTCCCGAGCCCCAACCTCTCCCTCTTCGTCTCGGCCATGGCGGGAAGTGGCCCAAGCGACATTTATGGGCTTGTGCGCCGCCGAGCTGCTTCGCGGGCCTCCTAAGTGGGCCGGGCCCATTGAATGTGGATGGGCCTGAAGAAGCGGGCCCGGAAAGAGCGGGCGTAAAAGAGGCCGTCGTCTTTTTTGTGCTTTTTAGGGCCTTTTTCATTTCTATTTTTCCTCTTGTGTTTCTTTTTTTTTTTGGGGGAGGGGGGTTAAATAAAAAGAGGGCCTCACGTGTCCCGCTTCGCATCCGCACAAACCCGTAGACCCAAAGACCTTCCCTTAACAAAAATGGGGATTTTCTCCTTTCCTCCCGTCTCTTTTCCTAATGGGTTTTCATTAAATATCCGCGCGGAAAAAATCATAAAAAAAAAACCATTTATTCCGTATCATATTGTAAACAGCATGTTAAAAAAATGGGGATTTTTTTCTCTTATTAAACACGATTAACGATAATGATCTTCGTATCGGTGTTGGCACCAAGCATCGTGCCCGTTCGATTCGTTTTTGGGGGGCCGTTTAATGACGGTGCGGTGCCGCAACGCAGTGGTCCAAGATCCGGGGGCGGGGGCGGCAGGGGACCACTCGGGGGCCCCCGATTAAAGCAGATCTTAATAAAGTGCGAGCTGTAGTTTTAGTTGTTGATTAGCGACATAAGTTAAGCGAGCTTAATCAAATCGAGAAGCATTAAGTAATAATTAAATAAGAAAGAGTGACAAGGACTGCCATCTTTGTTCCTTACCAAGAAAGGGACAGCATTTACTTTTGGTTTTGTCCGCATCCGAGGATCGGTCCCCGCAAAACGGAAGGATGCGCTCGTGTCAACGCGAACCTTTTCTCTTCTTTTTTTTTTATTCTTTAATTTTTTTAAATTTCCTTTTAACTAGGATTATTGTAATTCGCTTTCCCTGTTGGGATGCGGAATAATGTGTGGTATTTATTTTTTTTCGAGAATAAAAATGAAAAGATTTTTTGTCCGTTTAACTTGGGGGGATCCAAAGCTTTGATTAGGAAGGGACATGATATGCTTGTTTTTCATGTGGAATTCGATTCTAAGCTTCGGAGGTGGAGCATATTCTGGTTGGTTTTGTGCTTTTAGTGGGGTCTGCTAGGGGGAACCAAGAGGAGGAAGTCGATTCCCTTTTTAAGGTACGGAATTCCTGCTCGTTGTTGCCCGATTTGTGCCGTCTAGAACGACATTGACCTAACCAAAGATTTTGTCGAGTGATAGTTTCAACGCTTTCGCGAAGAGCGAACGATTTGGGCAAAATATTTTCTTAAAAATAATCGTTTATATCGTTCGAAATAATTAGTCAATAAAAACTAATTTCATTGTCGACAATAATTTATGTTTAAATATTCTCATGGACGATGATAATATTTTTCCGTTTATTTATTTTTATAAGCAATGCAAGAGATCATTTTTTTAAAAAAATTATTTTCTAAATCATTCATTTTCCAAAAAGCAGATATACATTTACTTTGAAAAAGGGTTGGTCTATAGTTGCTATACTTCATTCGAACTATCAGCTTGTAATGGTAGGAAAATACATAAAGATGCTGCTACATTAGCCAGTAAAATGCGCTCCTGGCTACAATCACGAGAAATCCTAAGACTTGCGGCCCGCGAGAGCCCGAGGAAGATGGGAAAAAGAAAAAGGGGGGAAAATGCTATTCACACAATTGTTATTAAAATCGAGATACCATAATGTAAATCGAAATTTTAAAATTTATGAAGAGTGGATTGAATCGTAAATAACCTAATACGGCATAAAATGCCGCGAAAGACTTGTGTTCTATGAAAAGAAATATTAACTTCAAGCATATATGATGATTCTTGCGCGCAAACATTACTCGCAAATCTTTACATTCATTTTATTCACTTCTGCATCATAAAGCGCGTAATTTACGTTCGAGCACTCTGTAACCATCAAAATATAGCACATCCCAAAATACAACCCAAAAAAAAAAAACTGAATCGCTCGAATCGAGAGATTAATATCACATCTACTATTCACAAATTGAATCCCCAAATTAATGGTTTTTTTTTTTGTCAAATGGAAATTAACTCGATTAACCTAATGAATTCGCATTGCTCGGACAAAGAAATCTCGTTCGAATTATAAAAATTGGAAATAACGGGGGGGAGGGGCCAAACGACCGATTCCGATGACCAAAGGGTTCGCACGTGAGTCCGTTCACGAGACGAAGAGGGAAGGCGGGGTGGGGGTACGTGATCTTCTCAAAACGACGGCCGAAAAGCAAGAAAACGACGGGCGGGAATCGGGTGCGGCGTGAATCGGGTACCCTCTCTCTCTCTCTCTCTCTCTCTCTCTACTCACAGGATTAAAGGGATCGAAGCGTGCGACGTCATCGGCATATGCGATGAATTGGCCGCTATGCCGGTACCCCTTTTGTCGGCTTTATGCCCCTTATCCACGCACCGGGCATCGATTCCTTTACATCGCAGCACCGCACGGCACGCCACTCGAGGCCGCACACTTTCAAACCCCTTCCCTAGCCGCCTAAAGCTTTGAAGCCTCCCCCCGTTTCTTCTTCGATCTTCTCCATTTGCTGCTTGGTCAACTGCCCACATGCGCGGCGGCTTAAGTGTTGGGAGTAAATCGGTCGGTTGAGTGCGGCCGGTCGACAGGAAAGACCCGATTCTTTATCGACGGAAATGTCAACATGGGGGCGGTTAAGTGTCGGAACGAGGGTGCGCTGTTACCGTCATGGCGGTGGACTCGATGCAACAGTCAAGCAGTGGAGATACCATGTTAAGATTTTGTGGGACCGCTACTAACTGTTCTAAAAGCTTAAGCTGTTAGATGAAGACGTAGTTTAATATTTTAAACATTCTATCATTCTCCCTTACGCTTAGTCTAATCTTTCTGCTAAGTACTAAGAGTGGACATATATAATTGGGGAGGCAAATGGGGCCCGGTAAAATTTAAATTCAAGACCGCCTATTCTGATACTATATGAGATGTCATGGAGCCATTGCCAATCATTCTAAAAGATTAAGCTGTTAGATAAATGCATATTTTAATATTCCGTCACTCGCCCTCGCACTTAGTTTAGTCCTTTTGACCTAGTACTAAGCGCAAATTATTTAACATGGGAGGCAAATGGGGCTTAGATAACTTTGAATTCAGGATTTCCTGATATCATGTGAGATTTTGTGAGACCACTGTCAATTTTTCTAAAAATGTAAACTGTTAGATTAAGAAGTAGTTTAATATCAAATTATTCTAACATTCCCCTTCACGCTTAGTTTGGTCTTTTTTTTTTTGGCCTAGTACTAAGCGTGTAAATATTTTAGTGGAGAGGCTAATATGGGCCTGAAAAGATTTGAATTTAGAATATCCTTCTCTAATTCCATGTGACATTTTGGTTGGACCATTACCAACTATTCTTAAAACTTAAGCAATCAGATGAATACGCGGTTTAATATTTAAGTATTCTAAAAGATGAACCATCGATAATCGCCCAGGTTGTGGGGTCGATTTAACTGTCGATAATTGTCAAGGTAGTAGAGTCAATGTCGTCGTCAAGCAGCTATTGAGTAGTGGAGTCGGTGTAATCGTCAAGCAACTGTCGAGTAGTGGAGTCGGTGTGACTTTGTAAGGTCCCTTCAATCAATCACATAATTCAATGTTATTTATAAATTTATCTTTATCTTTACTTTATCGCAATTTAAATAACTGGCTGTGATTGCCTCCAATCTTCGTAGTTTTAGATTCCTTGTTTTTTTTTTTTGTAACCGAAGTGTCCGGGCCAGCTTGCGCGCACCTCGACTATTCTTCGGGGGAGACTAGCACAGCAACCCACCGCTATGGCCCCCCACTTAAATCACAAGTGCTCAGCTGGGGAATTGAACCTAGGACCAGTGCGCCTAACCACACAAATCCAAGTACGCCCTAACCAACTGAGCTACCCATGGGTGGGTGCTTTAGATTCCTTGTTCATTTACTTTCCCGTCCAAAATCAATAAATGACCATTCAGTGTATATTCGAAAGGTATTTCATCGTCGATTCAATTTAGGCGAAATATCCTTCTGGGTATATTCGAAAGGTATTGCCTCATTGATTCAATTTCGGCAAAGCATCTTTTCGGCATGCCTGTTGGGACGCATTTTGTTGATTCAAGAAGATTACAATGGCAAGATCAGAAAATCAACATGAGTGCGACAATGTTGCTTACAACAACAACCCATTACCAGTTTTACCACAAACTGGTAATGAGGTTGTGCGCATTATGAGTCATAACCAACAAGGAGATGTTGATCTTCTAAGGCATCACTTTGAATATCAGTTAAAGGATATTGCTCCAATTCCAACATGGTGTCTACCATGAGAAGATTGCTCGAAGATCAACAAAATGAAATGGCTAATTACATGGTGAGTTACATGGCGGATGTGATCAAGCCAATTGTCATTAATGTTGCAAATGATGCTCTATCGAGGCTGGGATAATCCAATCAACCACTATTATTCCAAGTCAATCTAGTGGTAATAGGGTATGTTCCTAGTCTCTCTTCGTTAATTGATGTTGGTCAAACTACTCAAAATGGAATTAATAATCTGGCAAACCAAAATGACTGACAAAATGGACCAATGCCAATTGTTGAAAATATAAGGCCAATTGGTGTGCTTGTGCCACTTAGGAGGGCGAATATACTAATTGCAAGACAACATCATCGCCTAGGGGGCAAGATGATCAGCCAAATCCACAATTGAACCCATAATAAATTGTCAAAGATATTCGACAACAATAGGGGTTAGACTAGGGTGTTATCATTCCCATTTATAAGAAACCACATCTTGAATGAGTCAATAATTGGCATTTTCCAAGAAGCTTTAGAACCCCTAACTTGGCCATTCTTATCGGCAAATATGAACAATCGACCATCTAATACATTTGTCGATTTATAGCCTAGTGTGGGGAAGCGGGGACAAAGGAATTTTTAAGACTTAGGTTATTTTATTTGTTTCTGTCGAAAGCTACTTACAGTACACTAACTTACTACCCCATTTTGTGGGAAATTGGACTAAGATGGAAAGACAATTCTATTTTTAATTTTATAAAGACGAAAGGTATAATTACCCAACAAGCCATAAACCTACTATATTTGTGTCAATTCGATTCTAAACCTTAATTTAGTCATAAACCTTTTGACGATTTGCTAATATAGTCTATTCAACCAATTATGACTGTAATTTGTGACGTGGATGCCGGTCATCCTACGTGGCATAACCATCCGACGGCCGGTGTGCCACGTAGGATGACCGGCGCTGACGTGAACAATTTTTACAATTTTTAAAAATATATTTTTAATTTTTTTACAATTTTTAGGTTTTCTTTTTCCTTTCTTTTTTTTTCCTTCTTCCTTCGCCGATCGTTGGCTTTTGTGATGGCCGGCGACCGACCATAGGCGAGGACCAACCTCGCCTGCCGGGCGAGGCTTGCCTTTGTAAGGGCGAGGTCGCTGAGGCTAGTGAGGTCGGCCCTTGGGTATGGCTGGTCGCCAGCCATCAAGGAGGATGAAGGGAAAAAAAAAAGAAAGAAAAGAAAAGAAAAAGAATTTAAATAATTGCAAAAATTGTCTATGTTAGTGCAGCGATGGTGAGGGGATGGCCATCAGGGGTCGCTGGTCCCGTTTTTTGGTATTATTTTTAAAATTTTATTATGTAATAATTTATTTTTAAAATTAGATTTGGACCAAACTAATATCGTTTTGGCCTTATATTCCATGTTTTAACCACTTCATTACCACGTAAGAGTGATAAAATAATAAAAAAAGTCGCGTCAGCATTTTCCGTTAAGTTGGGCGGAGTTAACGGAATGATTTGATTGTATCGATTTGACAAGTTTTATGACTTAAATGCTCTTTTTGAAAGTTGTGGGACTCAATTAGATAAATTTTAAGACTTTTAGTGCATTTATAGAAGGAAGAAAATGATAAGAAGAGGAAAGCGAAGCGAGAGATGCACAGTACTAATTCATTCATTCAAGTGCCGTAATACATGTAAGTGAAATGTATCTCAGGTATTCATTTTGGAATTCTAATCCACAAGACGAACCTTTTACTAGAAACGACCTGCGAAACAAATCATGGTCGGTAATTTTTCTTTTGACAAGGGAAATAAAGTGAAAAATGGGTGAGTTTCGATGGATAGCGACATTCTTTAATTTTGACTCTCGGGAATTCGGGGGCGCCCTCCTTCTGACTGGACTTGCCATTAATGGAAAGGAGCCAGATAACCATCGCCTCTGTCTCTCTCTCTGTCTCTCACGCTGAAATCTTCCCTCCCCCACGCCGCGAGATCTTCCCTTTGCTTTTGGCGCTTTTCCAAAGCTCCCATTCTCATTCCGACCCTCCACCGCTTTTAAACTCCTCCTCCTCCTCCTCCTCTCTCTTCGATTCCACGGCACAGCACAGCACGGTCTCTGTCCGATCATCAATCAGCTCACGCTCACGCTCCCGGTCTCCGTCTCCCCTGCCCTGGGGTTCCTTCCTCCTGAAGATCTTATCCTCATCCCGCTTAGAAATCAAGCTACCGATCCCCACCCTCCCAAAGATTTCCCCCGAGGAAAGCGAGATAAAAGTTCCCTGGGGAATTTCTGCATCATCGCAGCGCAGCGAGGCGACCCGGGTATATACAATCATTCCCCCAGCATCTCGCCACTGTTATATCTGCCCCCCGTGTCCGCAACAAGTTCCGAAGAAGAAACAGAGAGAGAGAGAGAGAGAGAGAGAGAGAGAGGGAGAGCGAGAGAGAGAGAGAGAGAGAGGAGGAGAGGTTGTTTGTTTCTCTACATGGATTCGAGTAGCCATCAGAACTACACCCAGAGTCAACCGTCGAGTTACGGGCTGCTCCGTTTCCGCACGGCTCCGACCTCGCTCCTCGAGAATTTCGCTGACGGTGGAGGGAGCAAGCCCGGCTTGTCCGAAGGATATGAGGCGGACAAGTTCAGCTCCAGGTTCTTGAGTTACGTCGGCGGCAACGGCCGCGAGTCGGGTTCCCCGGCTCTCCAGTTCTTCGACCAGAAGCCTCCTCCGCCCTCGACGGCGGCGGAGGCGGCGGCGGTCGGGAGCTACGCGAACTCGCCGCGCGGTGGGTACCCTCTGCCGCCTCATTACCCGAGGCAGGGTTCCGGGATGAGCTCTTCCGCCATGGATAGCTCGTATGGCGTGCTGAGCACAATGGCGGCGGATCGCCACGCCCAGGTGAAGCCTGGCGATTCTAGTATCGCGAGGCAGGCTAGCTCTCCTCCTGGACTCTTCTCTGATCTTTCCGCTCAAAATGGTAAAAGTGCGGTTCCCTTTTTCTTTTGCCTTTTCCTTGTACGAAGTGGAGGACAATTAGTGGCAACTTTGTTAAGGTTTCGTTACGTGGAAAGCATGGTAGGTCTCAAAAGTGCAAGCAACGCGAGGTGATAACATAACTCTAATTGCATTAGAGGTTTCGGGCATATATCGGGAAAGCTGCTTACGGCTCATTCATGACCAAGTTTTCCAAAATTTTGCGACAGCAAGTTCTGGACATAGTTTAGGAGAATGTTGTACTAAAGTTTAACATGTTGATCTGGGAGCATTGGAAACCCCTTTCCTCCTTCTCTGGTCTGTATTAGGTACTTTTAGCTTATGCTATTTAGGTGCCTCCACCGTTCTTCTATCTGAAATGGTTCCTAAGGAAGCGAAGACATGACTAATACACGCTTTCCTCTTGCTCATGTCAAATAGCTTACCCTTCAGTGGATGACAGGAAGTAGTTCTTCTTGACTTGGGAGTTAGGAGAGTGACTTGAGACTACTAGACACAGCTTTTTATTCAACTTGACACAGTTGATGGCAGCACGATGTGTTACTAGATGTTTTAGAAGACTGGCCAGGTAAAAGAAGATTATTTTGAATCGAGTGTAGCAAGTGAAAGTTCAAGAGCAACGTCAGTATTGTTTGTTGATTGTAATTTCTAATTCTATTTTCTTCGTATCATGATGCTTTGTCATTTCTTTCCTGAGTTCCTCGTGATGTAATTTCTTGTCATCATAGTTATTCTAGTACGAACTGGGAAATACCTCGGGTTACTAAGATTAACACAGAATAAATTATTCGATCACGAAGCAATATTACCGAACAATTAGCGAGACATGCAATCTCCAGATTCATGTTGTTCAAGATCAATCTGAAGAAAAAGGAAAAGGAATTATGGAATGAGGGGTTTCAAGTTTGTACTAAGTTCATTAATCAGAATTTATTAGCTCGTGCAAGTGAATAACATTGGTTTTTACCAACATATGTGTCATGTCCAGTTTCTTACAGGCTATGCATTAAGAGAGAGATTTTCTGGCCCTAGTTAAGAAAATTGTCAGTATAATGAAATGTTTCCTTTTTTTTGTAGGATGTCGTAGGTGACGAAAGTCTATGCTATCATTTTGAATTACATTAAGATTCTTGCAAAAGGAGCACTACTTAGAACTGAGTGTAGAAAGTTTCTCAAACTTTGCAGGTTTTGCTGCAATGAGAGGTACTACAAACTATAGAGTGGGGAATGGAGTCGATGGAGAAGCAAGTCCATCAAGAAACAAGTTGAACGGTCAGATGAGCTTCTCATCTGGGTTATCTTGTTCCTTGGGGATGTTGTCACAGATTTCAGAACTTGGAAGTGAAAGCTTTGGAGCACAGAGTCCTGATGATTCAAAAATAGGGATTGGCAGTGGCAATAGCCGGTTTCACGGCTCTGGATATCTATTCAATTCTTGGAGTGATTCCTCAAATTTCTCACAGAATTTTATTGGCCTGAAGAGAGATGAAGAAAATGGTCTGAAAAAATTTTCCAGTGATCAGGCAAGATTTGACATGCTGGATATTGTTTGTTTATCCTTTGTTGCTTATCCAAAATGATATCTGAATGTTGGTATTTTTAAATCAGAATGGGAATCCAGGTAATCAGGTTCACCTGCTGTCCCATCATATGAGCTTGCCGAAGACTTCATCAGAGATGGCTGCTGTAGAGAAGTTCCTGCAATTCCAAGATTCCGTGCCATGTAAAATCAGAGCAAAGCGGGGTTGTGCCACTCATCCTCGAAGTATTGCTGAAAGGGTAAAGTTCATTCAATGTCCCGGACCTTCTATATCTTCTTAACTGAGTTTGTCTCAAGTCTTGACCTGAAGACTGAAGTTGCACGTGTCTTGATTTCCTGGTGCTGAAACTTACATCAGTTTTGCAGTTGATGAACTTATGCTACTATAGAATTTAATATGTTTCCGAAGTTCTTGGCGTGTGAATTACACGGTTGTTAACATTTAAATAGTCCAGGTGCGAAGGACACGGATAAGCGAAAGAATGAGAAAATTGCAGGAGCTGGTGCCGAATATGGACAAGGTAGAAATTTTCTACGAATGGGTTACTGATGAAATTATCGTGTTGCAGAACTCATGAAACTCTGATCTTTTCTTGGCAGCAAACAAACACAGCCGATATGCTAGATCTGGCTGTTGAGTACATTAAGGACCTGCAGAAACAGTTTAAGGTAATGAAGAACGATTTGATTATGGAGCTGTGACTTGGCATTTCCTTGAGAGCGCTTTGATACTGACTCGTGACCACGTATCTCCTTTTGCAGATACTTAGCGAAAACCGAGCAAATTGCAAATGCTTAAGTATACAGAAGCCATCCAACCAAATCGTTTGACGTTCTTCTGGAGTGTAAAGATAGAGAAAAAGTAGGAAAGTAGATTTCTTTTCATACCGTACTGGAAACAAAAATGCAGGAAGGAGCGCAAGATAGTTCCTTTTCCTACTATTGTATTCTAAGAATGCTTGCCAAAGTGCCTCCTTAAATGTTTTTGAATTTGTTAGCTAACAGAGCTTCAGAGGTCCAAGATAAGAAGATGGCACAGCTTGTCTTAGATTTACTGCTAAGTAATGGAAACTCTGGTTCGACTTAGTTGTGCCCTTGATCATGTTTTATTTGAATGGTAAGTTCCTATAGATTGCTCAGTGCAATGGAAGGCTAGTTATTCAATGAAGCCATTTCAATTGCTGTCTGAATCACTGGGAATCCGCAGCCGGGCAGATCCGGGCCGCAGGCATAGCATAGGTACTCACGAGCCATTGGATACAATTAGCCAAAATCTGCCTGTCGCATAGCTTGCTTGCCTCTTAAATGAGCCCCGTGTCTGTGCATTTCGCTGAGAAGGCCATTGAATGCTATCGATTATTTACCTGAATGCACCAGTGATCTGCTATTTCAGAGGGGAAGGTTGCCCCGCATGATAAATTTTTTCAGTCTCCTTTGGGTGGAAAAAACCGTTTAGATGGAATTTCACCTCAGAAAAGATGTCACTTAGAATTTGGAGAGTGATGGGCGTGATGTACATGGACTGGAGGTGATCATGGTCCGGACAAGGCCTAACGGGCGGTTCGAAGAGCAAGCTAGGCGAGAGCTCGAGCAACCAGTTTTCTTGTCGATCCCGATCTATCCAACTCGGTCCCCTTGAGATCGTCCAGGGCCAAATGGCCGAAAGAACAATGTCCAGATTCCGGGTCCATTCGTTAGGTCTAACAATAACTGAAGGCCGGAATGGCATTTGGATTTCGAGATTAGATAAGCATGGAGTGCGCACCACCGCGGAAGCATAAGTCCTGTTGCATGTTGGTCCTCATCTCTCGACGTTGGGGCGTGACAACTTTTCTTATAAAGGAGGAGTTGACGGAGACTCCGCCCCTTGTCAATCATCTAAAGCTACGGTTCAAGCCACTTTCATCTATCAAAGCATGAAGCCACGTACCAAAAATTAACTATTGATCTCGGAGTATCCAATGCCATATTAACCCGGTACGCAAGTCACGTGCCACCGATGCGGGATCCAAGTCCCGTGCTTTTAAAATTAGGATCGCAATAATCTACCACGCTCCGCGGTAGCAAAGACAGAAATAAAACACCAAAGGGCGATTTCGCCTAGGGATTAGCCGAAAATGCTAGTGTGTTACCAGCCCAACATGTGCGTTGGGACCGCGGAGCGTGATGAATTGTTATGATCCTTATTGTAAGGCATGGGACTTGTGGGTTACGCATTGACAGTATCAAATTTGTGATATGTGGTTGATGCGCTCTCCCAACTCAATAGCTAGTTTTCAGGACACGATTCATCTAATAGGTTATATGAAGTATATATTATCAGATAGGGATAATGACATAAACAGTCCCTGAACTTTGGCTCAAAGTGCAATTTGGTCCCTAAACGTTTGATTTGTTTAACATAGTCCCTGAACTTTAGCTTAACGTTCAATGTGGTCCCTGAATTTTTGATACATATTCGATATAGTCCCTGAACTATACGAAAATATTCAAAATTATCGTTGAACTTAAATTAATGGAAGGACTACATTGAACATTTTCATATGGCTCGAGGACTAAATCGAATATGTATAAAAAGTTTGAGGATGACACTGAACAAATTATAAGTTCAAGGACCATATTGCACATTAGATTAAAATTCAGGGATTACATTGAACAAATTAAAAATTCAGGGACCAAATTGCACATTTAACCAAAGTTTAGGGACTGTTTGTGTTATTTTCCCTATCCGATATATAAATACAATTAATCTTCGCCGCACAGATTTATAATATGCTACACAAATCACCTTCCTCGCCATTGATATAAGCGATCTCGCTTTTCACGACTAATCATACATCTAGATCATGGTGATAAAAACCAACTTGTTTGAAAAAATAAAACAACAATTTACAATCTGTGCACCGTACAAAAAGCCCTGTAATGTATAGATATTCCCAGGGAAAAGCGACAGCTCAATCATACACCGTCGGCTGCCTTGATCGGTCCAAAACCTCAGCTAGACATCACCGCACCCAAACATTTCCTCGGACCGAGAGAAACCGTTAAGGGGGACCCGCATTGGCCGTTGGTCCTCTCTCTCTCTCTCTCTCTCAAAGTTCACAACTTTCTTCCTCCATTGCACTTCCCATCTTGTCCCAATCTCGAGCTCCCATGTCCGAGACGTCGCGACACCAATTCCCGCACCAGACATTTCTCCACAACCTCCTCTCCGAATCATCCGCATCGCGAGCTCGCCCAGACCCATCAGCCGAGAGAAAAATTCCTGATCAAATCGGTCGATGGACGCGACCCCGGAAGCAAATCCGATCCGCCACCAGCTTCGTCAGCACCTGATCAGTGATCCGGTTCGCTCCGGCTAGGGTCTCGTAGCTCCCCTTCGATAACGCAGCGAAGGCGACGGGCGGGCGGCGGACTTTTTTTTGGGGGGGGGTTAGAGGATGTCTAATCTGTATGGAGATTACAACCAGAAGATCGATTACGTGTTCAAGATCGTGCTGATCGGGGACTCCGCGGTGGGGAAGTCCCAGCTCCTGGCCCGGTTCGCGAGGAACGAGTTCAGCGTCGAGTCGAAGGCCACCATCGGGGTCGAGTTCCAGACGAAGACGCTCGTGATCGATCACAAGACGGTGAAGGCCCAGATATGGGACACCGCGGGTCAAGAGCGGTGAGGACGCACGCCTTCCACATTCACTTATGACCTCTCTCTCTCTCTCTCTGGATTTGAATCTTTTCTTGCATACCCGTTTAGAAGAAACATTAATCTGTGATGTGTCCTGCTTTGTGCTTATGTATCCTGTTTGGAAATGCTGGTCATATGTTTTAGCCCAGAATAGATGGGAGGTGACGGGATCGGAGAAAGTGTCAGCATTTTTTGCCGGCCTGAGGTCGAAGCAATGTTCACTAGTTTTTAGTCCTCTGGATTTCTGCTGTACGACGTTTAGGCCGTGAAGATGAATAGGAAAAGCGAGCGTTGTTCTTGCTCTGATTCCCCCGAAAGAATGGGAAATATTGGCGAGCAACCAGATATGCTCAATGAAAAAGGATTTGGTGGTGGCTTGGTGAACATGAAATAGCACATCTCCAATTGTAGATGGTAACCGGTGGCATTCGAGCCTCCTAACCTGTTATCTACCTTCTCGATTGGGATGGGACTCGTCGTTCTGGCCCTCTGGGGCGATTCTGAACTAGTTAACGGGGAAAGGACTCTCATGATCTCCGATCTCCATTTGCATGAGACGTGCTGCAATTTCTGTCTAAATCCCGTAGATGTAAGAGATCATCGGCCTTTTTTTCCTTTAAATAAGACCGGATGTTCTCTAAGAGAAATTTTTTATCGCATTGCCGGGTGAAAGTCCGGATTTGGGACTATGGCTGCCGTTCAGGCATTTGGTTTGGCTTTATTATGATGAGTCCGTTGTCTTCACAAGATTTTTCCATAGGTGGTGCATCTCATTTTCCTCTGTAGCTAACAGTCTCATGAACATTTGTTGCAATTATATTTTGTCCGATGGAACTTCCAACTTGCCCAAGCACAATCCATCGACTTGCCTCAAGATGTTCCTCTGGTGCTCCGATCATAATCCTTAAGCGATATCTCTTCATTTGGAATTGGCTTGTCCATGGAACGAGAGGTGATTCCTAGTCCAGTTGCAGACTTGCAGTCGCATTTGTCCTAAACCACAATGTCTCGTCTGCTGTCATTTGGAACTTTGGATCAGCTAAATCAAGCTATAGGAAATTTGTATCTCCTAGTACTACAGTTCGATTTTTGTTAGGGACAAGCATCAGAAGACACCGAGATCTCCAAAAGCGAGCACTGACATACTAACATTGCCATGGCATCCCTTTTAGTTTTAGTTGTTAGGGAAGAAGCATTCTGATTCCGAGCTTGGGAGAAATCAGGACGGCACACCATTACGGAGATTGATCAATTCGGAATTCATCCAGCAGGACATGTTTATTTGATTGGTAGATGATTTAATGTGATCGAGTTAGTCCTTCAAGTCTGCAACCTGCCTATGCGAGATAAAACCTTAGTCCTACATCCATTCATTGAAGAGTTAATCATTGAGGGGTAGATACCCCTTAAGAGGAGCCTAAAGGAGTCTGAAGGCCTGTCGTGGCATTTGTTCAACTTCTCTAATGAAGTTCATCTAGGACTTGGATACTCTGCGCTGTCATTAGCATTAGATTAGCATGTTATGCGCGGGAGCCGTTCTAAGCTTCCACTGGTTTCCTTTAGTCCCGAATTGAACATTATGAACTCTGTTGCGGCGATAACCCTAGCCTGACACAAGAAGTTTAAGTCATTTGTCATTCGTTGTTCATGGCGTTTTGGTGATCTATGCTTCCGCAGGTACCGAGCAGTGACGAGTGCATACTACAGAGGTGCTGTTGGGGCGATGTTGGTATATGACATGACCAAGCGCCAATCTTTCGACCACATGACTAGGTGGCTGGAGGAACTGAGAGGTCATGCTGATAAGAATATCGTCATCATGCTCGTCGGCAACAAGTCCGACTTGGGCAGCCTACGGGCTGTCCCGACCGAAGACGCCCAAGAGTTTGCCCAGAGAGAGAGCTTATTCTTTATGGAGACATCGGCTCTCGAAGCAACCAACGTCGAACCCGCATTCCTGACGGTTTTGACAGAGATATACCGGATCATTTCCAAGAAGACCCTTAATGCTAGCGATGAATCGGATCCTGGTCTGCTTAAAGGGACGAAGATTATAGTCCCTGGACAGGATGCAGATGCCAGCGGAGGAAGGGGCGGGTGCTGCATGTCGTCCTAATCTTCTTCTTGAGATTATATTTCTTTTCGGCAAGATAATCTTTCGATCGACATTTACTTTAGAATTCCGTCCTTTGTATGTATTAGCCTTCTTGTATTATTTAGCATTGGTACTTCTCATCTTCGCTTAGTGTACCGGCGAAACGATTTTTGCAGAGAAAGGGTAGCTGATGAAATTAAGGCATGAGACTGAAACTCCAGGTTTTTTGTGGTACTAACCAGAAAAACGATTGGATCGCGCAAGTTCCTTTACGATCAAGTTTGATGGAATCCTTAGTACATAGTTTTAATGGCTTATCTTGAAGATCACGTCCTCCTTTACGGTGTCCTCCATGGGAGTACGAAAATCTTCAACATAGTTTCTGTGCCTTGTCCACTCATCATTGTCGTTTTAGTTTAATTTCTTATAGCATCCTCCTGTCATCTTAGGCGGAAGATTAAGGATCGTGTAGTATGATTAGGTAGTCCTACCTTGGGACTAATTATTTTCTTCTGGGAGGATAGGAGATGTGGATAGAGCTTGACGAAATTGAAGAAGAGAATCAGAAGGTGTTTCGCACGAATTGGATTCGGCAACGAAATATCTTTTACCGAAAAACGTTCGTCGATTTTATTAGAGGAGACAAATTCTGTGGCGATTCCGAACATAAAATATCACAGGTTAACTTTACTTCAAACGGAACTGTACGTATACAAATTCTAGATAGCAAATGCCTCACATTAATTGCGACCACTAAGATCATTCGCAAAATAACCGAGCAACGGATGTTGAAAAGCTTTGAGATGTCTTAATTACACGAAGGAGTTTTAATGTAGTATTCAAAACAATAGATCCCAAATGTTGACTGTGATAAGCATGAGCACTAATTCAACAAAAGCGAGCTCTAGGTCATGTTCACTCTTCTGTAGAATTCTCCAACAAAGATTGGTAGACCCACAGTTTTAGTGAAGTATAAACAAATTTTGTTCATTAATGAATCGTTCCAGCCGCTCATCTAGAGTTGCCCATGAATATGTATGTATAAATGAGCAATTTCCAGCGGTTGCTTCCTTTTTGCCCCCTCGGGAATAGCTTCACATGCTGATCCTTCACTAGAATACTCGTGGTCAGCCCTTAAAAAGGACAACGTAAAAGCTTTATTGTGATGATCGTTCGCAGAAAGCTTCCTCTAACAGCACTTACTGCGAGTAATCTCATCTCACTTAGATATGAAGGGCCTTATATTCCTAGAAATCTAGCTCTATAGTGAACTGAAGACACCCTGTCACTGGAAAATATTTAGGGACATGCACACACATGACCAAGTCAATAATCACAAACACCAAAGGAGGAACGAGACTCACCTTGTTTCCAAGGAGAATCGGCAGGCTAGGCATGTCGACTGCGGGGGAGAGAGAGAGAGAGCTTGGTCGTTTCGGGCTAGGTTACTGCAGGCGTGGGTGGAAGTGGGAGATCGAGAGAGGACCGATGATGGCGGCGAGGGGTTCCTACAACGAGAGAGGGCGACTACACTATGCGAGCAAAGGGAAAATAATAGAATGAGATACATAGAAGGACTCTGAGGTTAGAAGACAAATATGTCTAGAATTTTTAGGCTTATGACACTGGTTCCAAAAAACGGTTCGGTTCCCAAGTGGTTCTTCATTCGGAACTGGATCGATCTCCATCGGTTTTGAAAATTTGAAATCGGACCTGTCCCCATCATTAATTTGGATAGATCCAACATGGAATTGAATCTTTAATCGATTCTCCAGTTCGTTGTCGGTGAAATCAGGGATCGGAAACGAGGCTCGACAAATGACCAAGAATTCCATGCAAAAGCTACGTCCTTTTTTTCTTTCGAATTTACCCTAATACGAAATTTATCTCTTTCTTTTGGGTACTTGCCATGGAAGGAAAGTACAATCTAGCCAATATCATTTGGCGAGCCAAATTCCTTCGATGCCCCTAGGCTTCTTAGCTCACGTGGCACAAGTTTACCGAGGGGCGTGCAGTTTGAAGACTCTGAAAACCACTTCCTCGTGTTGCAAAGCTCGCAAACGGTACGACCCGCCCAAATGCGAAATTTTGAAATTTCAATCTCAATTCCGAAAAAAATGAACAAAAAAAATGGAGCTCGAAACTGAAAAGCAACCTCCTCCCCTGCCTCATTTTGCCTCCCTACCGCCCAATCCATTTCCCATTCGAAAAAGAGCGAGACTTTCCGCCGATTTCACCTTCAAAATCACGACCCAGTTCAGCAAGAACCCTCCTCGAATGCCATCCTCCACCTTTCTCGTGTTCCATCTCTCTCCAGGTAAATCCCGACCCCCGACCTTCTTCTTCGTCAGTGTTGCTCGGTTCACTGCTTTGTCTTGCGGATTTTCGCCTGCTTTCCCAAATGGGTGTTTTCTTTTTTCGTTCGTGGGTGTCCGGGGGACGAGCAGCTGCCTCTAGCTTGCGGGGGAATCGTGAAACCTCCGCATCTGAGATCTTGGGCCGATCTCATTTCTTGCTGAAATCGAGGGTGCCTTTCAAGATTCGGTTTCTGTCGTGATGTTTCTGTCTGTCTTCCTAATGGTGTGATTTTTTCAGCCTCTCGATAGGAGGAGCTTCGTGATGCCGCCGGAATCGAGGGACAGGTTGGTGAGGGCGGTCGATGTGGCCGCGGCGTACGCCCGAAGGCGAGCGGGTATCCTCGGAGTGCTTGAAGACGAGCCGGAGCGGCGTTCGAATCTCTTCGAACCCGTGGTGGCACGGCGCACGGCTGGAGCCGCGGGAGTGTGGGCGACGGCGGGATTGGGCCGCGGCGGTGCGGTTGGGAGGGGCGTTTTGGGGACCCCAAGAAACGTGAGCGGGCGTGGCAGGAATCTGTTTGCGACTCCGCTAGTGGGAAGAGAGAATACGCCGTCGGCCGGTAGCTCGAGGAGAGGCCGGGGGCGTCCGGACAGTGTTTTGCCTTCTTGGTACCCGAGGACGCCGCTGCGCGATATTACATCTGTTGTGAGGGTAATGAAGCTCTTCATAGTAGTAATTGCTCATTTAATGAGTTTGGTTTGATTGAAGTTTCTTGAATTGAGTATGGCTTGCGCATGTTTTCCGGTGTTGAGTGGCAATTAACACTCATTTTCGAGGTCTAGTTTCTTTCTGTTGATGGACTAATCACTAAATTTGATCAGCAAGCTAGTTGAGTGGATTATTGCTTAGATTGTATTGGATGAACATATAAGTTTGGCTCGGTCTGATCTAAATTCTGGATGATTCATCTCCATGTCTGCAGAGCATTATGCAAATCTAGGCTAATTGGCAATGAAATGCCTTCATATACGTCTATGAGTGTCTTTGCCGCTAGTAATTCAATGTTACAGTATTTGTGTCGGGCTGCTAGATTGGCGAGGACTGAGAAGGCAGTTGTGAAGTGTTTGGTAATGATTGTTTTGATTTCCATTACCAATCAGCGAGGCAAACTTTTTGGCTCTGATCATTACCAGTGCTTAGGCTTTGTTCCCTTTTTCTCCAATTGCTTGAAGTAATTAGACTCTGCAGACCATAGTCACTACTCTACAACTGTTTGCGCTAATTTATCGTCTTTGAATTTCTCTTCAATAGTCTCCTTTCATGTTGCTCTGTATCTTGATTTCACAGTGTATTCCTCATTATGCAATTGATACCACTTCAGGATTCTTGCTTGACTGCTCTGCAGAAGCATATCACTACATATCCTGCACACTTGTGTGGGGGCTGGTCTAATATCTTCTCTTAAATTCAGGCATATGAAAGGAGGAGGGCTCGGCTGTCAGAGATTGAAGGACGACAAGCAGATACTCCAGTAGCCACGGAGCTGGCCATCGGTGAATCTTCTGTACCACAGACACGTGCTCCACTCGAACACGATGTTTCTCTTTATACCCCTGGTCCAGTAGTTGCAGAAAAGCCTTGCCCGCTTTCTGTAGGCAAAGTGCCGAAGATATTGCTTGACATTACCAACCAGATTCGTGTTGGTGACTCAGAGTTCCTCACACCCCAGAAGAAGCTTTTAAATCAAATTGACACAGTCGAAAAAGTGGTAATGGATGAGTTAAGGAGGCTCAAAAGGACACCGAGCGCTAAAAAAGCAGAGCGCCAAAAGAGAGTTCGCACACTGATGTCGATGCGATGACGCATCGTGAAAATTCTGGAGTACAGAAGATGACAGGCCTGAGCACATTTAGATCAATAACCTGTTGAGACAGTCCTTCCTTGTGGAAGATCTAGTTCACCATTTTTTACCCCTTTAAACTCTAGCTGAAGATCTTGGTATAGGATCAGTAGGCATTTTTCTCGCCCGTTAACAAGTTGCTGAAGGTCTTGGCATAGGATCAGTAGGCACCCTGAGTCGGTCTTTTTTCGTTTTCTAGAGCCCTTTGCGAGTTCTTTGGTGATGTTTCTGGAACACAATGTACATAAGAGAACCTACATGGGTTTGATTGTTTGCTCGAGGTCTGTCTGTGTACTTTTGGGCATTTGCATAATGAAATCCAGGCATCATTTCTCTTCAAATGAGAGTTCTCTTCTGACAGTTCCCTCGATATATGGTTGAATGTCTTCATCTATATTTGAATGGATGTTCCTCAGTTTTTATGTCTTTGAAGCTGCGTTTTCTCTGTCAGGGTACGTACACCATGATCTGTTCATACGGACTGAAACAATGGGACTGCTGATTCCATTCATTAAATAGTTGGTATGTTCCTATGTGCCCTGAACGTAATTTTACAGAATAAGCATCTGTCTCTGGTTTGGACGCGTAGAGAACAGAGCATATACTTAAGTCTGAACCATTTGTCGTTTTCAAGATAAATTTCTTCTTCTCGAGGAAGCAATTGCTTAATGAAATCGCAATTAAAGACTTGATTGGATTATCTTGAAACTTAGCTCACATCCCAGGAATCCTAGGCAGTAGTGGCGTTACCGCAAGTAAAAAAATATGACACGTGAATCAATTGTGGCGATTCTCTAGGATTTATTTCTAGTTTTACGGCTCATAAGAAAACATAGAATGGCACAAGGGACTTGTTTGTTAATATAAGGTGGCACAAATGACGTGGAGACGAAAGTTGACCGACGACGTGAGATGGATCTTGCTAATGAGTATTCTTTGAATAATGGTTAAGTTAATTTAAAATTGAAAACGATACATTCTGAGATACTTTTAAAATGAAAGAATTACGCATTCTCATGAACTCACTTAAGTCAAGAGAATTAAAATTTGAATTTTCGTAGCACATTTCGTACTGGCCAACTAATCTGCGACAACTAATGTATGTATGTATATAAAAAAGAAACCGGCTGTCCAATTACTTCTTGTTCTTGTGCTTATGTGTTGCTGCCACCGGCATGCACCCTCGATGAGCGATTTATGCATGAGTGGTTTACCCGCAAATGTAGGTACATCCAGTGCGAAAAATGATTGATATTTATGTATAAATCACCAATGGTAATCGCCTAGGGAATCTGGCAAGTCAACTCAAAGACTTTCATTAAACAAAACCATGTTTCTCATGCATTGCTTAGGCGTCGAGCTAGGATCATTAGGTATCCGCATCTATTTTATAAACCGGCTATAAAACTAGACAGAAAATTCGATAACGCAAGGGAAGTAATCCATCACTGCCGATGATCGTTGGACGCCACAATAAAATAATCTGCACCTTCTCGATCTAAGTTATGAATTTTCTTTTTCAATACGGTACTAGGTGAATGCGATCCTAGTCCTAGGCACGAACTAGGTGCATGTGCTTCTATATATCATATCCCCGGGTCAAACCTTCCACATTCCCTTCAAGTTTCAACCCTGCACGCCCTAAGCACAGATACTGCTCTCAGCTCTCCAATGGCGGTCACCAATCTAGATCTCACACGCTACACCTTCTATCTCACCATCTTCATCACCTCTTGCTTCCTCTTACGCGCACTCTTCGCAAGACTGGCCAACTCGTCATCCCGCCAACCTCCGAGCCCCCCATTATCGCTCCCTGTCATCGGCCACATCTATCTCTTGGGCTCCTCCCTGCCTAAGTCCTTCCAAACCCTAGCTCGCCGCTATGGCCCCCTCATGCGGATCCGCATGGGTGCATCGACCTATCTTGTTGCCTCTGACGCTGCCGTCGCAAAAGAGATCCTTAAGACCCACGATGCCAAGTTCTCTTCGCGGTTCGAGATGGGCCCCGTCCAGTACAGCATATACAAGCAGACCGGGTTCATGACCGCACCGTATGGTCCCTACTACCGCTTCATGAAGAGGTTGTGCCTGACCCGGCTCTTTGCAGGGTCGCAGCTCGACCAGTTCAGGCACATCCTCAAGGAAGAGGTTGAGAGGCTCGTGAGGTCGGTGTCGGAGTGCTCCGGCGAAGGAAGATCCTGCGACTTGACGGGGGAGCTGACGACACTGTCCAACAACATTATCTTCAGGATGATCATGAGTAAGAGGTACTCCAAGTTCGTGGAGGAGGCAAGAGAGTTGAGGAGGTTGGTGGTGGAGATCATGGAGCTTGGAGCAAAGCTCGGGGTGAGCGAAGTGTTTGGGCCTTTGAAGTGGTATGATTTGTTCGGGCACGGGAGGAGGCTGACCGAGGCGATGAGGCGGTACGACGGCGTGTTGGAGAAGGTCCTGAGGGATTATGAAGAGAATATAGATGAGGGTGGTGAGAGTGATTTGTTGGAAATGCTGTTGGAGAGTTGTGGAGATGGTAATGCAGAAGTGGAGGTGACTAGGGATCACATCAAGCACTTCGTCTTTGTAAGTTCTTCTTTGGATTTTTTACATATGAATACTACACAGACCAATTCTTTTCGGAGATTATATTACTGTACTTTGGTAATTAGTAGAGAAGCATATATATGATAATACGCTGCTTTATTTTTGGCTTGGTTTTAACTGGTAGATGTACATACCCAAAATCTATGTTGGATCTGTCTTTGACATTTGATAGAGGAAAAAGTCGATTTTGATGAACCTTATTCATTGCCTGATCAGTGTGGAGTAAATTAATTTCGAAGATCAAATCTCTACGGTGAGAAAAATGGTATTTACGTAAAAAAAAATTGTTTCATTTACAATGATCTCGCATGCACATGACTTTTGCTATGAATTTGAATGAAACTAGCTTATTATATATGTTTGAAGTAGCCTATGATACGTGGAGAACCTTTGGCAATCGTCAGATGATAGCTAGTCATTGCTATTGCTAAGAATGACTGCATTTCGTCTCTCTCGATGTTGATCGGATTTATATACTCTCAACTTACAAAAACGAATTCATCACGTCTCTCTCCTTATAGTATTCTTTCTCACCTCATGAGATAGGAAATGCTGATGGCGAGCATCGACACGATGTCGGCGGCGTTGCAGTGGGCCATGGCGAACCTCATCAACCACCGCGCGGTCTTCAAGAAGCTGAGAGACGAGATCGAGTCCGCCGTCGGCCCCGCCAAGCTGGTCGGAGAGCCGGACACACAGAACCTCCCATACCTGCATGCGGTAGCGAAGGAAACCCTGCGGCTCCACACCCCCACCCCTCTGATCTTCAGGGAATGCTCCAGGGACTGCAAGGTGATGGGCTACGACGTCAAAGCCGGGACCAGGCTGCTGATGAACGTGTACGCCATCATGCGGGACCCGGAGGCGTGGCGCGATCCCGACGCGTTCGTGCCGGAGAGGTTCTTGGTCAACCCCAGCGAGGGCGGCAGTCAACTCGACCAGATCGAAACGAGGGGCCGTGATTTCAGCTACCTGCCGTTCGGAGGTGGGAGGAGAGGGTGCATCGGTGCGTCGCACGCTTCGATGGTGGTGCAAGTCGTCGTCGGGGCTCTGACCCAATGCTTTGACTGGGAGGTCAACGGTGGCCAGAAGGTCGACATAAATGTAGGGTCGGGATTTTCGGGTGCCATGGCGAGCCCTCTCGTGTGCCGTCCGATTACGCATTTCGACCCCTTTAAGTAGGATAAATTAATTCTAAGGTGAGGAGTTCTCGAGTCTTGTGTGTAATATATGATCAAATAAAGTGTTGGAATAACGTGCATATCGTGTAAAATTTCTGTGGTAATGGGTGGAACTGAAAGAACTTAATTTAGCTTATATTATGTGGGCATTTAAGATATCAATAATCAATTTTTTTTGTTCGAAATATCAATAATCAATTGAAATGAGCTTTTTTAGCATCTAAGTGATGTTTCAAGAAAATGGGTATTGCTTTTTTAGCTATATTATACGGGCGTTATTATTTTATACTCTATGGTTTGAATCCCAGAAAATGTTGTATGATCGAACACAAGGGCCAAACTTTCCATAGTTATTCATACAACAAGTTATTTCATATATTAAGTTTTGGTCATTGGACGATTCTAATGCAATGATCTTTTTTTAAGAATGCATGGCCGATGTTTATTCAATTATTGGAGGTAGAAATAGAATTGTAATTTCTATATTAGTCTGATCTCTATATGCATCTCACGATTGGTCTGATAAAATTCTTGAGAAGTATTTCACTTTATAAGACTACGGAAACATACAGCAAAAACAAAATGGAAAAAAGGTTTTACAATCGCAAATCGATATAAATATGCAACTTGAAATATATACATGAAATTGAAAACACAACATGACTATACAATTCTCCTTCGAAAATGGGGAAAATTAGCACGAGGATGAAATAGAAATTAATATTGATTTGAGCCTCGGACTTACCAAAAGGAATAGTGCGTCTTCAAAGATAAGATTATTCAAGTCAACATGTCTGGCAAAATGGACAATTTTACTATACATTAGATATCATATACCTCAAGTTCTCAGAAAATGGAGTTTCATCAAATACAAATACATGAAAACACAAACTAATGGTTCGTTTCTTATGCAAAAAATGAAAGGTTTAAAAAATATTTTCTTAAAAATGAATGTTTGTATCGCTTGAAATAATTAGTCAACGAAAAACGTTTTTATTATTAACAATAATTTATGTTGAAATATTTTTTTTGTTGAGCTCTTTGGGGTGCATGTATATAATAGTTTCCCCCATCAATTTCCAGCGTACAATCGCCTATGTGTTTTCTTTATGATGTTATAAGAATCTTAATTATGTATTTTTCAATGTATATTTGGGGAAGAACTACGGGTCTAAAAAATTTCTTCTTCTCAATTACTTTATACTTCATTAATTAAAGGAGTATCAAATTTATATCTATAACAAATTAATCAATTGACTTTTGAACACTTGAGTATGGTTTCATTAATGCAAGCAAAAGTCATCATATGATAGTAGATTAATAAACCCAACCAAACTTCAAATCTATAGAGATATCTTGTGTTATCTTCATATAAAATTGGAGGCTAAGCAAATTATTTATTTTCTGTTGAAACAAACGGAGGCTAAGCAGTCAGTTAATTTGAACTTATTTACGCGGTTTTTAATTTTATTTTCTTTGGAAGATGAAGAGTCAATCACAGCCTTTTTAATGGGTTTATTTCGTCATTTTGTTCAATGACTGAGCAAGAATAAGAAATAAGAGGAAGGCGATATCCATATCTTAAGCCATTCCATTGACGAATAAGCTGTACATAAACATAATTGACTTGGTTTCTCATGGGGAAAAAAAACTAAACAAATGATGATATGGATTGTACATCGGAAAAAATTATCAAAGAAGCTATAAACCTATTGTACAAATGCCAATTCAGTTCTAAACTTTTCAATTTAGCAAAATTAGTTTTAAACCTTGTAATGATTTGCCAATATAGTCATTCCGGTCAATTTTGGCTAGCAAATCACTAATGTGAATGCCAACAGTCCTAAATGTTATAGCTAGTGCTGGCGTGGCGTGGACAATTTTTATAATTTTTAAATATTCTAAAATTTTCATTTGTTTTTCTTTTTTCCTTCATTTCCTTTTCTTTTTTTTTTCCTATTTCCCTCAATTGGTTGGCGGGGCTAGTGGTGAGCAGTTCCAAGTACCTTATAGGTCCTACTTGGAACGTACCCGTCGAAACAGGTTTCTCATTTTTTGGAATTTAGAACCTACTTTGCATACCTTGAAACCTGAAACTTACCATGTCACAGGTCCCAGGTTCTACCCAGGGTCTACCTATATTCATAATTGAACGATTGTAGTGAATCATCATCTTTAACGATCACCATTTGCTACTACAATCTACTGACCACAACTTATATTTAGATATACGAAGAATATAAAACATTAACAAAATAAAAGTCTCAATGATTACCCTGCATATCTTGGAATCTGGAACTGGTTCCAGGTTCTACCTTAGGATCATGCTCACCCCTAGCCAGGGTCTCAGTGAGGGCTAGCAGAGGTCGCTAGCCACAAGTAAGGCTGGTGACCTTCGTTGGCCATCACTGAGGCCCGGCAACCGGAGGAGAGAAATAGGGAAAAAAATAAAAAATAAAGAAAAGAAAAAAGGGAAAAAAATAAAAAAAATAGAAAGTTTTAAAAGAATTGCAAAAATCGTCAACGCCAGCGATAGCTGGCTATATTAGGCTAAAATGACAATATTGGATTGATCTATCATACGGTGGGAAAATAGTGACACATCCTACATACTAACATGTATCGGTTGGGTGCATTTTATTATTTTTTGAGCATCTTTCTTTAGAGCATGATAATACATCGACTATGGACCAAAGGTGCGGTTCATTTACATTAATGGTAGGATAATTTATCTACGTCATTGTCGCTCATTTTCAACATTATTTACATATATTTGTATATATCTATGTGATCCCCCTTTTTTTTGTCATCTTCTCTAGTATTTCTAAATTAATGTCTAAACCTTAAGTGAGCTTTTTCTTTTACTCTTTTTATTGAAATAATTATTAAATCAATGTTTTCTTTATATTTCCTTTAAAAATATATAATTTAAAAGAAATATTAATCCATGCGTAGCATGGAGAATGTAACTATGCCCTTAATAACCGACAATGACCTTATGGGGCCGGTCACACTAAAATAAGTCCAAATGCAATCAGGATTCAAGTGCTTAGCTTAGAAAAATAAATCACGTCTATCTCAATTGCATAAATATAAATGGTCCATATGGCAAAACGATAATGATCTTATAATAATGACTATGTTCTAGCTAGTTCAGCCAGAGGATATCTAGCTAGTTTTTTATGATAATCATTGGCTATGACAATTTATATCATCAACTTATAATTCTAATATAGATTATAAGCTAAAATTCTAATAAATGAAAAAGACTCATCTTCTTATTTTCCTGTGACCTCACGAGCTAGATGAATGTATCTATGCACCGACGCACTGCATGATCTATTTATTCAATACAAACCGAAATTTTTTTCACAAGTTCTTTTTTCAATGGATATGAGAAAGCGACCCATGATCAAATGTCTAGGTTTCGAGGATTACGAAATGTTAAGCTACGAAAAGCTAAGCACATACAGGGACATAATCAAGAAATTGATTGAATCACTGATTATGACAACATACGAGAATGTGAAAACAACCCCGACAAGTTTACTTATAATGCATGTAGGCACATGAACAGAGATGGCTGTCCTTTTTGGCTCGTTGGACCACCGAAAAGGAGTATACTTAAGAAAATCTCAAGTTGGTCATTGATTTTTCCGATTGAATTAGACAAGGAAGATGTTAACTATCTAGCTATATAGGGTGTTTGTCGTCGCATCTACGTTCTGAAGCATGGCTTGAGAACGAAAGATTCCGCTGTGAGAGAAATCCAATTAGTGTAACATTATAAACCCGGAGCTTAATTTGCAGTGAAAACTTTCATAGATCATGTTTTGATTAAGCAAAGATATATTTCTGATCAACCCTTGTTAGTTCTGGATCGAATTTGATGCCAAAAAAGATCTGCAGACTTTTATTTGAGGTACAATAATCGTCCGCCGTTAAATCTTCTGTCTATGCAAGCCGAGGTGGCGTGTGATGTGGTTAACGGTATCGGCCTGCGAATAACCGGATCTCTATGCTTGGGCTCTAGAATAATAAAAAAATTTCATATTTTGACAGTCTACTACCTATTAGCCTTGTCTATAGGATCCCATTTTTACTTTTATTTTGTAGACGTATGACGTGAAAGTCAGCATACCTCAATGCGTTTTTTTTGGAGGATATGTCAATGCCCTAAGATACAAGATATTTACACTTTATCTCAATAATTCGAGCCATTTTCTACCTTCAACATGGATTACGTATAATGAATCGATCAGGTCGAATTTTTTTTTGCTCTTTTATTTTGTCTCTCCGATATCTCGCAACATACCAAAGCGATATAAATAGTAAACTAGGTTCCATCATGAATCATCCTAAACCATTCACAAACTCCTCTACTCCACAAACCACAAAATTTCCCATGGCTGTTGACATCGCTGACTACATCTTCTTGCTCTTCTTCTTCCTCTTCTCCACCCTCATCTTCTCCATCTTCCATTCATCCAAAAGAAAGCCCGCGCGAAGCCCGCCGAGCCCACTGGCCCTCCCCATCCTCGGCCACTTCCACCTCCTCAGCGCCGCCCTGCCGAAGTCCCTCGAGGCCCTAGCCCGCCGCTATGGCTCCCTCATGCAAATCAGCATCGGCTCGTCCCGCTTCCTTGTCGCGTCCGATGCCGCCACTGCGCAGCAGATCCTAAGGGCTCATGATGTCGAGTTCGCCTCCAAGTTCGTCTTCGCGCCCTCCCACCACAACATCTTCAAGGAGGCCGAGTTCGTGAACGCTCCCTACGGCACGTACTGGAAGTTCATGAAGCGGCTGTGCATGACCAAGCTCTTCGCGGGTCCGCAGCTCGAGAGGTTCTCGCACATACGTGAGGACGAGACAATGAAGCTCTTGAGGTCCTTATGGAAGTGCCACCAGCTCGGCGAGCCGTGCAACCTGAGCACGAAGCTGACCGCGCTGACGAACAACATGCTGTGTCGGATGGCAATGAGCAAGAGATGTTCAAGGAGCGGTGATCAGGCGCATGAGATCAGAGAGAGGGTGAGGGATACGATGGCGTGTGGTGCGAGGTTAAGCTTCGCGGAGGTGCATGGGCCGTTGAAGCACGTCGACCTGTTCGGGAACGGGAAGAGGCTGAGGACAGCGCTGAGGAAGTTCGATGCGTTGATCGAGCAGATAATTAAGGAGTACGAAGATGACTGTGGGGAGGTGAGTGAAGAGAAAGATGTGATGGACATCTTGTTGGAGACGTATAGAGACCCCAATGCTGAGATCAGGTTGACCAGAGATCAGATCAAGCATTTCTTCCTAGTAAGTTGATCAGTACACTCTCTTATTCACTTAATCAAACTAGATATATCCTACGTTTGGTGTAATAACCAGTGTCTTTTGTCTTTGCAAAAGGATCTTCTGATAGCGGGCGTCGATACCACATCGGCATCGATGCAGTGGGCCATAATTGAGCTATTGAAACACCCTCAGTTGCTCAAGAAGCTGAGGAAGGAGATTGACTCGGCGGTAGGGTCGACCCGGCTAGTCAACGAATCGGACGTCCAGAACCTGCCTTACCTACAGGCCGTCGTGAAGGAAACCCTGAGGCTACACACTCCAGGGCCTTTGCTCCGTCGCAAATGCAACAGCGATTGCGAGATCAACGGATACGACATAAAGGCTGGGACCAACATCTTGATCAATGCCTATGCCATCATGCACGACCCGGGCACTTGGGAAAATCCGGATGAGTTTGTCCCCGAGAGGTTCATGGTGGGCGAAGGTGATGATCATCATATGGAGCTGAAGGGCCAGGATTTTCATTACCTTCCGTTTGGTAGCGGGAGGAGGGCGTGCATCGGTGTGGCTCATGCCGCGATAGTGATGCACACGGCAATCGGGGGGCTGATTCAGTGCTTCGATTTGAAAGGAGGAGAGAAGGTGGATATCAAACTGGTGACGGGATATTCCGGTGCGATGGCGAACCCGCTCGTGTGTTATCCGATCGGATTGTTGAACCCGACTGTCTTGCATGCAAAATAGAACAACAATGGACTAAGGATATTAATATGTCTCTATCTCTATGTAATGCCAGGGTAAATAAGGGTTTGTTTATATAATGTTGTTCCTGGAGTGTGAAACAGTTTCATCTTAAGCAATGTGGTCTATTTCCTTCAATCTTGTCTATTTTATAGCTTTCATCTTTTTCAACTTGGTGCCTCACTTCTACATGGCACATTTCGTTTATCAAGCCCCTTTCCTTTGAGAAAATATGATCGCATAATCTTTTAGAGTACTTATAATATACATTGACAGTAACAAAAAGATCGTTTATGTATAATTTCTTTATATTGACGGTGTATGCTCTAATTTTTCAATATTCTATTATACGATATTTATGTGCTCTGAGGGTATGGCCTACAAAATTCAAAACTCGAGGTCTATATTAATCTTCTACGTTGAATTAGCGTGAGAGTCTAACTATTTGTTAAGATATGAATAATATGATATGTTAGAATGAGCGTACACAATATGTTCTCTTTTCTCTTCGTACTTGAAAGTAAATGTAGATTGTAATTGGTTGGGGCATCATGGAATTTTAGAGTTATCCGTTCAAATCCCACAAACTATATACTGTCTGTTTTGGGTCAGGCCACCTGGACAGGCTAAAATCCTGGATTTAACTGACCTACGAGGTTTTTTATTTTTATTATTTTTATAGATCCTTAGGCAATGTATTTCTATGCCTGTGCCCTTGGATTATAAAAAAAATTGTAGATTTCACAAAATGTTATGACGGAGGTTTCATACTAAAACCAATAATTTCAATTGGCAATTTGGCATATCCTAACCCAGAATTAATTGATGAAACATTCCAACAGCTTTCATGTCTTGGCACAATTGAAGGCACACAAGTCTCTTATGATCTGAAGAATTACGCTTAGAGCATGTGAGAGCTTAATTCATGGCATCACTACAACCACAGCATCTTGAGCTTGCAGAGCACATGCACTTCTCATCAATAACGTCTTTGAACATCACAAATTATACTCCTAGACAAAATTTATCTGATCTATCTTATTAGTGATAGAAAATCAACTGACTTTTCATTTCAACAATATGATTCAGAAGGCACCACCTGATAAAGCACGATTGATGTAGTAAAGTTCTAAAAAATGTTTGCTGCATCTTGTCTGAGTTAAGCTTTCACCTATTAGAGCATGAGAAGAATTACACTTAGAGCATGTGAGAGCTTAATTCATGGCATCACTCCAACCGCAACATCTTGCACTTGCCAGAGTACATACGCTTCTCATCAATAACATCTTTGACCATCACAAATTACACTCCCAGACAAAATTTATTTGATCTATCTTATTAGTGACAGAAAATCAACTGACTTTTCATTATAGCAATGTAATTTGAAAGGCACTAGCTAATATAGCATACATTGATGTAGTAAAATTCTAGAAAATGATTGTTGTCCGAGTTAAGCTTTCGCCTGTTAGAGCATGTGAAGAATTACACTTAGAGCATGTGAGAGCTTAATTCGTGGCATTACTCCAACCGCAACATCTTGCACTTGCCAGAGCACATGCACTTCTCATCAATAACATCTTTGAACATCACAAATTTACCTCCCAAATAAAATTTATCTGATCTATCTTATTAGTGACAGAAAATCAACTGACTTTTCATTATAACAATGTGATTTGGAAGGCACCAGCTGATTTAGGATGCATTGATGTAGTAAGGTTCTAGAAAATGATTGTTGCATCTTGCCTGAGTTAAGCTTTCACCTATTAGAGCATGTGAAGAGTTACACTTAGAGCATGTGAGAGCTTAATTCATGGCATCACTACAATCACAACATCTTGCACTTGCCAGAGCACATGCACTTCTCATCAATAACATCTTTGAACATAAAAAATTACACTCCTAGATAAAATTTATCTGATCTATCTTATTAGTGACAAAAAATCAACTGATTTTTCATTACAACAATGTGATTTGGAAGGTTCCACCTGATATAGCACACATTGATGTAGTAAAGTTCTAAAAAATGATTGCTGCATCTTGCTTGGGTTAAGCTTTCACCTATTAGGCTCAAGTTTTTGGATTAGACTTTCTAATTATATCGTTCCCTTAGGAAGCTGTAGTCTCTTCTAGTGCATTTAGCATTTGAAAAAATTTACAATTTTTTTTGGGTGAATCGAATAGTGTGTGGATTGTATATGTTATATGACGAAAAATACAATCAATAATACCTAACCTGAGGAATCTAAACAACTTTGCTTTCTTTAGATTCGTTTTGGATCCTTATAATCATCGCTACGTTTCAACATCATGGACCATATTGTTCATCGAATGCATGAACATCCTAGTCAAGATGAGTGTGCCTTTGATGGGAGTATAGGAGGCCTTGACAATGTCTAAAGAATTATGAACCTATCATTTCAAGATCATCCTAATTAACAAGAGTTCGGTGGTCCATATTTGCTTATCTCACCCAAGACAAGTTGGATCGCTGATCAACACTTGACAAGGATTTCAACACAATCATCACTTAAAAACGTTCAAATCATCAATGTCAAAGGAAGAAGCCAAATGCCAAAATCTCTCTATGATCTTTGGAAATCCAAGGGGGCTGCACTTTAGTGAGGATGGATTCGGTTGCATAATCATGGCCGAACACAAAAAGATGATTTGGTTTCTATTTTTAAATGCATTTGTTGGAAATTAAAAATTAGAAAACTAAGATATCATGAGTTCTAAAATGTTTGGATTTATGTATAGCATGCGTGAAGTGGTCCGAATTTTTGGTCCCTAGGACAGGGGATAATGTTGAGATTTCGTTCTCCTGTTGACATAATCCCCGGCAGGACCATTTGGTTCTGATTTTGCCTTTATTATATTTTCTCTCATTGGACACCAGGACACATGATGTGAATGTGAAAGTGACTTAAGATGTGATCTTCAAAATCAATCGATGTTACCAACTACGATTAATGGGCCAACCATCGCGTGCAAATGAGAAACTCTTGGTTAAGGGATTGCATATTTAATTTGTTATACATGTTCTTTTGATATTATTGGAAAAGACGTCGTTTTTTCTTTCCAAAAATTTTGAACTCTTAGGAACCCAAAAACTGAAGAAACATGAACAAGTGCAAAAAATTCTAACGGAAAATAGATGCGAAGAACAAACTTGATCCGAGAGATTTACGTAATTGGACGGCAATCGCTCAAATCACGAATTCTCAAATGGTTTTTGAACCCCGATTACATCCAACAAGCCTCACGAGAATGAAATCAAAGAAAGAACTAGTACGTACCCTACATGTTTTTTCTTTTCCTGATAGCTCTTGAAAAGTCTTTCCAATTAGGCTTATGAGCAAAATAGGTCCAGATCCCATGTTTAAACATTGTCTCATCTTGTTGAGATGTACAACAAGATCTCTATACCTCATCCTAGAGAAATCAACAATAGAAAGCTCAAATTTGAGTCTATAAACATATCTAACTGGATTGTGCTTCACTCGAAAACTTAAACGAAAAAATTATAGGCAACAATACTATATTAACTGCTACCTACCACATTAATTCTTTGATGTTGGATTCTTTCACCTAGCATCCTCATATGCGTATCTCAACAAACTTTCTCCGCATGTGTCAGTCTCTTGCATTAATCCTTCTTCCCCTTAAATCAAGTATATTTTTGCACGAACATTATCTCAAACTCTGAATTTCAACCCTTGACCGAGCCAAATTTAGCAGAACATAAGCTGCGCCATTTTGACTCTCCTCCTTGGTTACGTTGGTTGCGCCAAGCTCAGGTAAACGCATCCTTTGCCACCTTGATTCTGGAGCCACATCCGACAGGCCAATTTATAATTTCACTACCTAACTTTGATGTTAATTAAAAAAAAAAAACTTTGATGTTCACAAGGCCACTTTCTCCATGTGTTTTAAGTAAGAGTCATCCTAGGTATCCGAAAATCAGTGTACATAAATTGATATATTAAGTTAGATGACAGACTACAAATGATCATTTAAACAAGTAGGATCGCATTAATTAACAGATCAATTTAAAAAATCGATACATCTTTTTTTTTTTTTTTTTTTTTTTTTTGAGTTGAGCCAACCTTGCCTCGCCCTAGTTAAATGGTTACGTCCTTCCAAGCTCTTGAACAAATCAATTAAAACATGGCCTTCTCACAAGACTACCTCATCCCCGTCGCCCTTTGTCTACTCTCCCTAGTCTTGATTCGAACCCTCCTCGCCAAAACTCGAACCGGGGCTCACCTCCCGCCAAGCCCGCGGTCGCTCCCCGTTATAGGCCATATGCACCTCTTGGCTCCGATCCCCCACCAAGCCCTGCACAAGATTTCCACCTCCTTCGGACCCTTGTTCCTCATCTACATCGGCTCGAACCCTTGCGTCGTCGCCTCCTCGCCAGAAACCGCCCAGCAAATCCTCAAAACCCACGAGTCATCCTTCCTCAACCGCCCCAAGATGGCTAATGCCGACTACCTCACCTACGGCTCCTCCGACTTCACCTTCGCCACGTATGGCCCTTACTGGAAGTTCATCAAGAAGCTCTGCATGACCCGGCTCCTCGGTGGTCCGACCCTCGACCACTTCCTCCCCGTGAGGAGTGAGGAGATCGGCCGGTTCTTGAAAGCAATCTTTAAGAAAGCCGAGGCGAAACAAGCGGTTGACGTCGGGGTCGAGCTCATGAAGCTGACGAACAACGTGATATCAAGGATGGCGTTGAGCCGGACGTGCTGCGATGATGAGGACGAAGCTGACGAGGTCAGGACGCTGGTGAAGGAGATGTGCGAGCTCGCTGGGAAGTTTAACTTGTCGGAAGCGATTTGGTTTTGTAAGAATTTGGATCTGCAAGGGTTTGGGAAGAGGTTAAAGGATGTGAGAGAGAGGTATGATGAGATGATGGAGAGGATCATAAGAGAGCATCAGGAGGCGAAAAGAAAGGGAGGAGAGAGAGTGAAAGATCTGCTTGACATTTTGCTGGACATCTATGAAGATGAGAGCTCGGAGATTAGGTTGACCATAGAGAACATTAAGGCCTTCATCATGGTAAATCACAATTTTTCGCATCATCCTCTTAACTATTTTTCTCGACTTTTTAGTTAAGTGCGTGACATCATTCAATCATGAATTTGACTAGATGTACCGAGACTTCATACTAAAACATGTTTACTATATGAATCTCGTCTTCATGCTATACACGACATGTGGAGTAGATACAATGTCTTTTTTTTTGGTTGCACCCTAACAAAAGTGTCATTCCTTTTCAACAGAACATTTTTGGAGCCGGAACTGATACATCCTCAACGACAATAGAGTGGGCGTTGTCGGAACTCATAAACCACCCGGACGTCATGGAGAAAGCGAGGCAAGAAATCGACTCTGTCGTGGGAAGAACCCGATTCGTATCCGAGCCGGACGTGCCAAACCTCCCTTACCTCCAAGCCATAGTCAGGGAGACGCTCAGACTCCACCCAACAGGTCCGCTCATCGCCAGATTCTCAACCGAAGACTCCGTCATTTCTGGCTACGACGTTCCGGCGAACACCCGGATCCTCATCAACGTGTGGGCCCTAGGTCGGGACCCGACCCACTGGGAGAACCCGCTCCAGTTCTGGCCCGAGAGGTTTATTCATGGAGAAGGAGTGGATGAGAAGGGACGCCAGTTGGATTTGAGGGGCCAGAACTTTCAGCTGTTGCCTTTCGGGAGCGGGCGGAGGAGTTGTCCCGGCGCCTCGCTGGCGTTGCACGTGATACATACCATGCTTGGGGCTATGATCCAATGCTTCGACTGGAAGGTCGACGGGTATGTCGACATGGAGGAAGCGCCGGGTTTGTCGCTGCCCAGGGCTCATCCCGTCGTGTGCGTGCCCGTGGCTAGGATCGATCCATTGCCGATGAAGTGACATGAAGCAGTTTTACTTTAGTTGATTATGGCTTATGGTTGAATGTATATTTTGGAGTGTTTTTTTGCATGTTTGTCCAACTTTTGAGTTCACGTTGGTTTGTCTATTCACCTATTTGAAATGTAATCTGATCCATCATCAGTTCATGTTGGTCTGTCTAATCAGTCTTTGTCCAACTTTCTAGAATTATGTTACTCATAGTTAATCGATTAATAAGATTAGTGTACTAGTAATTGTAGCTATGCACCAATTCATTGAGGCCATGAATTGGACTGGACTGGTAATTGTGTAGGCCATGTTTCAGTGATTGGGCCCAGCCCACATGACAATCTTATTAAGATCGTTTTAGTGCGCAGCCATCAAAATTTAAGATGCAAACAGTAGTTATTCGGTCGTTTGGAATTTGCTTGACCGTCGTAGATGGCCAAACATGTTAAATCTGATACGACTGTAAATGCAAAAATTCAGCTAAGTCCCAACTTTATGAATTATCCAGTGCTCAAAACATGATTTGGTATTTCGTAATGTTATTCTCGTGTTGATACCTTATCGTAGATCCGGGCCTAAACATGAAGAAGCTAATGGCCCGAACCAGCCATAACAATGTACTTAACCCATGAGGCCCACTTGATTGAATGCCTAGAAAAGATCGTTAACCATAAAGGTCATAACAATACACTTGGCCCACGAAGCCCATCGACAAAATGTTTTAAGAGCTCATTGCTTATGAGTTTCCAATGGGCATGTCGCGAGGATTGATTGACTCTAAATATAAAAGGAAATTGAGGTCTGAATCAAGTAGAATCCAATCGAACAAGAGATATAACTACAGCTAAAGCATCAGAAGCAGTGGAAAGTATCCCGGAAGAAGTGCACGGGTCAAGAGGCAATTAGAGATTCTTGAGAAGGAATATCATGATGCACAACGAAATAGCTTATTGAAGATGGAGGAGGAATCAAAGTACAGACGTGCACATTTCTCTAATACACGTTTATGATGGAAAATACACTACGAGTAGGAGACTCAAAGATCACAAGGAGCCCATCAGATTTTGAATAAGATAATTGGGATTAGATTTCGCTTAAGTTTGAATTTCAAATTTGAATTAGATTAGGTTTCTTAATTCCAGTACTTATCTTAAAATATAAAAGCTTATACTTTCTCTTCGCGATTCATTAATATCCATCGAGAAGTTTGTCTTTAAATTTGGTCATCGAGCGAGCATGGCATCCAAGAATGCAACTCATCGGTTCTAAATCAACAAATGTCCTCTTCAATTTCCACAGTCTGTTTTCAATTATTTGCCTGTGCATTGTCTTAGTAATTAGAATTCTACCAAGTTCCTTGAGGTTTCAAGACATATTAGCATCTATTTGCTTTAGATCTGAAGTCAGATTTAGTATTTTCATTGACCGTTTGATCATTCGCGATTATGTTTTTATAATTGAAATCATCGAGTTTCAAGAAATCATAACTTGACAAAAACCCACGTAACAACTCATTAAACTAGTTAGACGCATGGAATATCCTCCTCTTAGAGTAGCTATTACTTGTAAATGCACACCACCAACAGCATCTCTCCAATTTTTATATCTCTTGATTGTTTTTCTACGTATCACTCACTCAATTCCCATTAGTTCGGAGCACCAGGCCGGCCTCCCTTCTTGGCGCAAGAAGTAGACCAAGTCCATGTGCCAAAAAGTCCAAACTGAATAAAGTAGGGGTGAGCATAGTCCGGGTGGGCAGTTCCCACTCTAGAACTGGGAACCGCCCACTAAGGACCGATTCCGGAAAATTGGAACTGAGAACTGTCCGTTGGTTTCATGGACCCACTCAGGAACCGCACAGTCCGGTTCCAAGGTGGGTCCATGGAACCGGTCTCACTAGCCAAGGACGGAGACGGAGATGGAGAGTCAGAGACGGTGAGGTGAGCATCGACCGAGAAGAGTGAGAGAGTGAGAGTGAGCGTGAGGCGAAAGTGAAAGAAGATGTTTCTCAGTTTAATGTGAGGTTGTGAGCATCGAGTGAGTTAGGTTTAGTTTAAGGATTTATGATTTTTCTTTTTAATAAAAATAAAAATAAATAAATATATTATATTTATTATTCTATTACCGGTCCAGTCCGGGTGGACGGACGGGCTGTTCCACACCTAGAACCGGGAACTGAACCAGTAATTGTCAGTTCCCAAAAATTGAAACCGGGAATCGGACCGGTTCCGAGCGGTCCTAGACTGTTCGGGCGGTTCCCGGTTTTTTGCACACCCCTGGAATAAAGAAAGGTCTCTCCACCCGCAATCGACATCGGAAGGGTCTATGGGAACCGCAATACCAAGAAGAAGACATTTAAAAATTCCATCTTACTTTGTTTTTATATGCTTCGGCACATTCCTAAAGTCCTAAGTTACACGCCAACATTGGCCCACACGAGCCGGCCAACAAGTGGAATTTTCCTCTTCTTTTCATCTAAAACTAAAAGTGCAAAAGGACGAAGCTGCAAAAAAAAGGTGACAAAACATCTTGCCGATCCCGAGGAAACCACCCTTGGCTCATGCTCAGAGTATAGCTTCTGACTTGGTAAAAGCTGCCGTTTCAAGACCTGAAGATTTGCATGTTAAAGATACAAGCTAAACCTTTTGATTTGAGTTATATCTTGTGAAGTATAAAAGGATGGTTCAACAGAATCATTTTGCAGATGTAGATTGACATACTATGCTTTTACTTTGCATTTAAAAAACTTTAGGAGAGCTTTTACATGCCCAGATTCGAAGGTTCTTTCATCACCAGAAGGCCTTTCTCTTCGGCATTTTATGTCTAGTAGACTAAGATTCCCTTGTTATTAGTAAACCTTGGGGTCTAATTTATATAACCCCAATTTGGCAAATCTCAGTTGTTGATTCTCAAGCAACCTCCCATGGCTGACCTCCAAGGCTACATCCTCCTCTTCCTAGTGTGGCTAGTCTCGTTCATCCTAGTCCGAGCTGTGCTAAACCGATACCGAGCCGCCTCTGGTCTCCCTCCGAGCCCCAGGTCCGTACCAATTCTAGGCCACCTCCACCTCCTGGCTCCGATCCCCCACCAAGCCCTCCACAAGCTCGCCGACCGCTTCGGACCCTTGATCCACATCTGGCTCGGCTCCATCCCCTGCATCGTCGTCTCCTCCGCTGAGATGGCCAAGGAGTTCCTCAAGACCCATGAGGCCCGCTTCTCCAACAGGCCTTATAGTGCCGCAGTTGACTACCTCACGTACGGGTCGCAGGACTTTTCGTTCGCACCGTATGGGCCGTATTGGAAGTTCATGAAGAAGCTGTGCATGTCGGAGCTCCTGGGCGGTCGGACGCTGGACCTCCTCCTCCCGGTCCGGCGTGAAGAGATCAACCGACTCCTTGTGTCGATGTTGAAGAAGGCCGAGGTAGGAGAAGAAGTGGATGTCGGAGGAGAGCTCGTCAAGGTGACCAACAACGTGATTTCGAGGATGACCATGAACACGCGGTGCTCTGACAATGACAACGAGGCCAGCGAGGTGAGGAAGGTGGTTCACGAGACGGCCGAGCTCACGGGGAAGTTCAATCTGTCGGACTTCATCTGGTTCTGCAAGAACTTGGACTTGCAGGGGTTTGGAAAGAGGCTTAAGGAAGTGAGGGACAGGTTTGATGCGATGACAGAGAGGATCATCAAGGAGCATGAAGAGGCCAGGAAGATCAGGAGAGAGAGAGGGGGGAGTGAAACGGCCAGAGATTTGCTTGACATCTTGCTTGATATATCAGAGGATGAGAGCACAGAGATGAGGTTGACCAGGGAAAACATCAAGGCATTCATCCTGGTACGTTGAAACATTTTTTCTTTTAATTCCCACAAGCTCAGATAAGTACTCTTCAATGGAAACCACCTTCCTGGATCATGGAATATAAAACTTGGTCAATTAGCTGAGGCTATCGCCTCTAGTTTCTTTGTAACAAAAACCGCAATGATTGATTAGCCTCATCAGTTTGGCCAAAACTGTTTTGAAATACGAACTTGCATATATCTTTTTCAATTTTTACAGGACATATTTGCGGCAGGGACAGACACATCGGCAATCACCACGGAATGGGCCCTAGCGGAGCTAATCAACCACCCCGAGGTGCTTGAGAAAGCGAGGAAAGAGATTGACTCCGTGGTCGGGAATGCCCGGCTGGTCCAGGAATCGGACATACCCGATCTCCCCTACCTGCAAGCAATAGTGAAAGAGACGCTGAGGCTCCACCCCACGGGGCCGCTCATCGTGCGCGAGTCGTCCGAGGCCTGCACCGTTGCGGGCTACGAGATCCCGGCGAAGACCCGGCTCTTCGTCAATGTGTGGGCAATCGGGAGGGATCCTAAACACTGGGAGGACCCACTCGAGTTCAGGCCGGAGAGGTTTCTGAGAGAAAACAAGGCACAGATGGACGTGAGGGGCCAGCATTTTCAGCTGTTGCCCTTCGGGAGTGGGAGGAGAGGGTGTCCTGGAATCTCGCTGGCGCTTCAAGTTGTGCAGACGAGTATCGCTTGTATGGTTCAGTGTTTTGACTGGCAAGTGACTGGCAATGTGGACATGGAGGAGGGACCTGGGATTACTCTTCCAAGGGCTCGTCCCCTGGTTTGCGTCCCTGTGGCTAGGCTCGATCCGTTGCCATCGTTCTGATGATCTAGTCAGATCGAATCAAGAAATCGGGATGCCCTTGATGTTTGCTTGTTTTCTCATTACATTGTTAATTTAGGAATCTACTTACAGCATACCTTGGGTTGCATGCTGCACATGAAATGCTCCTAAATGTACTGAACAACCTCTAGCAGATTATGTCAATCGTATTGACAAATACGGCAATGACAAGTTATTCAAGTAATAGGCTCGGTGACCACTTCCGATTATATAGATTCACTTCCATTGCTTCTCGAGTGAAAATGTCTGACGCAGAAATAGGTGAGAGAAGTCGACATGTGTAGCGTTCCAAGATTTGGTGCGTGAGCAAGAAATACAGAATTTGGAAAGAAAATCTTTTCCTTCGAAACAAAAGTCAAAGTTACCAGGAAATCACATCCCTGGACATCATTTGCATAGATTTCCCAATCAGAGAACACAAAGAAATCAACCATTGGTGAGGAATTCATCAGAATAACCTTCATTTATCACATTTCCTCAAGTCTATGTTTGCAAATGTCAAAGTTTGCATATAATATCTGCATGCGCATTCATTCCAATTTATGAGATTTGAAAAATTTGTAAGTGTGAAATTCTATTTATGTCTAGTGGGTTTTAGTATTACCATCAGCACTACATGACACTCTAATTAGACTTCCTGGACAACGCCTTAATCCACTTAGGGCCTAGGCCCATTTCCTTAGATGGGCTGCTCCAATATAAGCCCCAATCCAATCCAAATTGAAAAGGGGCAAATAGCTTTGCTTCGGTTGGTGGTTGGTTGTTCTCCTTCTTTCTTTTTTCATTTCGGGGAGCGTGTGTAATAGTCATGGCCACGGTTCGGAACCGGCTGTTCCGGTTCGTGGCCATGTGTGAACCGGAACCGGCCGGTTCCGGGTCGTAATTTAAAAATTTTAAAAATAAATTATGAAATAAAAAAATAATGAATTATAAAATTATGAAATAATGAATTATTCAATATAAATTGTAATCAAAATATAAATTGTATGGGTGATTGGTTCCCGGTTCGGTCCGGTTCCGCTTGGAACGGGAACCAAACCGGTAAGACCAGTCCCTTAATTTTAAAACTAGGAACCAGATCGGCAAATCATAGAACCGGGAACCGGACCATTGGCCCGGTCCGGTTCTAGGAGAGGTCCAATGGAACCCTTTGCTCTTAACTAGCAAAGGATCATAGCCACAAAAGGTATACAACTTCACATGCTTATGGCTTGGCCTGGGTTTTATACACAACCCTTTTGATGGTCTCTTCATTTCCATTCGATGTGGGACTCTTGGCATTTGCATGAAGACAAGCCAAGAGTCTCACATTGAAGGTGTTCAAGGCAAGTCGAGAGTCCCACATCGAATGAAAACGAAGAGGCATTAGAATCATTGTGTATAAAACCCAAGCTAAGCCTTGTAATTAGAGTTCAATACACCCAAACCAAACATTGTAATTAGAGATCAATGCACTTACAATACTTGGCAATTAGAGTTCAAATTGTTTATATAAAAAAAATTAAATAATGATTTTTTTTTAAATTTCATTATTATTATTTTTTTAAAATAATTTGGAACCGGAACCGGCGGTTCCGGGCCGGTTCCAAAATTGTTGGAACCGGAACCGGGCCCGTAGGCCACGGGCCGGTTCCGGTTCCGAACCGCGGGCCCGGGTTTGACCGATCCGGTTCCGGGCCAAAACCGGCCCGTGGCCATGACTAGTGTGTAAGATCTCCGAATTAGAATGGCAATTTGGCAAGGATGTCTCGTCAAAGAAGAGAACAAGCAAAAAGAGGGGCAATCACTTATAACGCAACTCGAACTTTGAACATGGATGTCACTACCCGCGTAACTAAGTAAATCGTTTGTCTGAATTGTCTATGATAAAATACGGACACAGCAAATCACAATCGTTCATCACGTCAATCTTATAAGATTCAATGATGCCGATTCATGAAAGAACTTTTCCAATTTCAAAAGGCATTCTAAAAGTAATCTTCTTGCTAAAAAATTTAAAAGGGCCTGTCATCTCCATCCACCCACAATTTTTTGTGCCATCTACTACTGAGTGTTTGCAATAGGGGTGAGCGTGGTTCAGGCAGGTGGTTCCTGACATGGAATTGGGAACCGCCCACTAAGGATCGATTTCAATAAATTGGAATCGGGAACCGCCAATTAGTTTCATGGATCCATCCAGGAACTGAATCGTTCATCCGGTCCGGTTCCCGAGTGAGTCCATGGAACCGGTCTTACCGAGTTTCACGCAAATGAAGGTGATCGAAAGTGAGAGATGGAGGTGATGAACGGCTAAAGGCGCGGCTGTGAGTTGATGGGAGTTGAGAGTTGAGCTTTAAGTTAGGGATTTTATGGTTTTCATTTTTCCAAAAAATGTTTTCTTTTTTTTTTTGAAATTTTTCTAAAAAATTATATATATGTGTATATATTACCGGTTCGGTCCGAGTGGGCGGATGGGTTGTTCCACGCCTAGAACCGGGAACCGGACCGGTACTCACCGATTCTAGTAAATTAGAATCGGGAACTGGACCAGTCTTCAGCGGAACCGCCGGTTCCGGGCCGGTCCGGTCCGGTTCCAGGCGATTCGGATAGTTCACGATTTCTTTGCGAACCCCTAGTTTGCAGGACCTCTGTTCCAATTACGCATTGTCCTGCGCTGGCAAGCGCGTCGCGCGTGTTTGTACGATGTGGAGGGACCAGATGAGCGCGAAAACATTTGACACAAGGCGGGGTCCGCAAACAGCGCGAAAGTTCGTCTGATCCGTGAAGAGGAAGAACCGGTCTGTGGGAAGCGCCAAAACAAAACTGCTGAACCAGCAGCCCCTTTGTTCTGAACCGAAAAAGGAAAAGAAGAAAGGCTGATATGGATATGGATATGGATATGCATATACGGGGGGCCCACCACGCAAGCTGTATAGCAAAACCTTCTTTGCACGATGAATAAAATAAGCAAACATTTGACCAAGGACTCAACTTGCCTTATTAGTTTGACTCCATCACTTGTTAACGTGTTAAGCTTTTTCCATATAACACTGGAGTTAATGCACTGTAGACTTAAGGACCGATCGTGTGGATTTAATGCACTATAGACTTGAAAGAAATATCATGATTCAGAAGGCTTTCTTATTTTTATTTCTGATCAAAGCACGGTAATTAAACACCAGAGGTAGACAAACTGGTTTGCTCGAGTCTTAAAGCATCGGCTAAGCTGAGTCCTGGTTTTCACTTGCAGCTAGCAAGAGGAGCACCGCACAAGCATCGGTTGTGGAAGTACACCGAGTAATCGAAGCTCTGCAACTGCCCGCCCACCGGGATTTCCCCGCACAGCCGGTTGTAGCTCACGTTCAGGAACTGGATACTCACCATGGACTTTGGAATCGACCCGTAAATCTTGTTATGGTTCATGTCCAGGGTCTTCAGGCTCTCGTTCAACTCCACCTTCGACAGGTCGAACGCGAACTGGTTCCTCGATATGTCGATGTAGAACGTGCTCTTGTTCCTCCCGAACACCAGCGATGCGTCCCCCTGAAGCATGTTCCGGGAAAGGTCGAGCTTCCCGAAATCGACGCCGGCGAAGGTCTCCGGGAGCTCGCCGGAGAGGCTGTTGTGGGAGAGGATGAGGTAGAGGCTGTTACCCTTGAGGTTGGCGAGGGAAGCTGGAATCTTCCCGGTGAGCTGGTTGCGGTCGAGGCCGACGTAGCCGAGGCCGGGGATGGTGGAGAGGGAGTCCGGGATGCCGCCGGTGAGCTTGTTGAAGGAGAGGTCGAGTTGGGTGAGGTTCTTGAGCTGGCCGAGGAAGGACGGGATGGGGCCGGTGAGGTTGAGCCAGCTGAGAGTCATGTAATTCAGGTACTTGAGCTTGGTGAAGGACTTTGGGATGGGGCCGGAGAAGTTGGAGAGCTTGTGGAGGGTGAGGTCGTGGAGGTAGGTGAGGTCGCCGATGGCGGAGGGGATTTGGCCGGGGAGGTCGGAGGCGAGGAAGAAGAGGGAGATGACGCGGTGGGTCTTGTAGTGGCACTTGAGGCAGTACCAGTGGCAGCAATCGACGTCCGGGTTCCAGGAGGCGAGGAGGTAGGGGTTGTTGAGGGCGGACTTGATGCGGAGGAGGACCTCCTTGTCCGGACCGGGTGGCAGAGGATGGCGGAGGTGGCGCGGAGTAGGAAGAGGGAGAGGAGGGGAAGGAGGAGGAAGAGGAGACGGAGGCGGGCGGGAGCCATTGTTGAAGGTGGTGGAGGTGAGTTTTGGATGAGTGAGGAAGGAGGAGGCGTGGAGAGTGGTATTTGCAGGAGGAAGTTGTGCGCGGCAACTGGGGGAGGGGTTTCTGGTTTTGGAGTCATCTAAGATCATTTCTAATTTTAATTTTGGTATATAAATTGGGCAAATTTATACTTTGACGATTAATTAACATGAAACACTTGACATGTTTCACAAGATTCACATATTGACACCTAAAAATCGTGAAACTTAAAATACCTTATTTTATTGTCATATTTTTTGGTGAATTTTCAAGTTTAAGTTATGTGTGAAAAATTATCTGCCTAAAACAAGCCAATTGTCTATTCGTTTTGATGATTGTTAAGATACATATGTGAGTTGTGTTAGAGAAGTTCTATATCATATAAGTGATGTGGTGTTGAGCAATTAATATATCATGGTTGGCCCATGACTCATTGGCTTAAGTTTTTGAGTGAAAGTGGGTCCAACTGGATATGTTGACGGGCTCAGACTTGATCTCCCTCTTGGCGATCTCCCCAGGTGAAGGTATTGAGCTTCTGCTGCACATTTCCAACAAATGGTATCAGAACCGATAGTTGATTAGTGGGGGCTCCCAATCTGTTCCAGTGTTTGATGAATATCTCAACAAAGAAATCTTATGATCGACGTTTGTTTCGGGTGAAAATTGCCATCACGGTTAGTCTGGCGAGAAGTGACCATGGACAATTGGTTTGGTGACGCGATAGAGACTATGAGTGATGCAATCCCAAGTTAGCAGTTGATGATGGTTGTTGTGCATAGTTGTAAATGCATTGGAATGACTTGGAGATTCAAGTTGAGATAAGCTGATGTAGAAGAATACCTAAATTAAGGGAGAGCAAGCCTAACACTGAACTCACACGTGAGGGAGAGATTGTTGAGATACACGTATGAGTTGTGTTAGAGAAGTTCCACATCGGATAATTGATGTGGTGTTAAGCAATTAATATATCATAGTTGGCCCATAACTCATTGGCTTAGGTTTTTGAGTGAAAGTGGGTCCAAGTGGATATGTTGACGAGCTCGGACTTGATCTCCCTCTCGGCGATCTCTCCAAGTAAAGGTATCGGGCTTCTGCTGCGCATTTCCAACAAAATGGTATCAGAGCAATAAATTTGACAGAATAATAAAATAAATCGGACACCAGATTTACATGATTCGATCATAGTGACCTACGTCCATGGGGAGAGCAGCATGGAATTCCACTATGGATCAAACGATATAATGGATATTATAACCACACTCGAGTAACTCAAACACTCTAATACTTTCCCAAGCCCAATTACATACAATAGCTCACGCAGTGTTTAGCCTCACAATTCCTCACGAAATAATCTCTCAATCTCGCAAAAGAATTATACACAAATCTTATCACAAGATTTACGCTTGAACACTAATTCTTCTTGGATGTAATTCACAAACAAGAATCCACGGAAATACCCACTGCCAAGCACTCACAAACGCAGCGCTTCCTTCTTTGTGCACAATAACAGTGCTTCTTGTTCACTTGCACGGCACACCAAGCACTCGCATTAGGGCGCTTCAAGATTGCATCTGCCACGACGTTCCTTGCAATATATATTTCGAAGCAAAGGAACACACAGTGGCCTACTCAATGTGGAGAAGATATTCCACGATTCGGTCAACAAGTCCAAGTTTGGACTTTCCTATTTCGTCTATGGCAGAGTGTGACTCCGACTAGAATTAGGAAAGAACAGAATATTCTTTCTATTTTCCTTTTCTTTTGTTTGCTGCCAACTCTTGCATATTAGGAAAGCAAATTTCCAGTATTTCCTTTTGCTAGATTTCGGCTGTCCGCAAATTATCAATTCGAAATATTTAAATTTTCGCTTCGGGCTCAAATTCAAGACATATTTTCAACAATGATAAACCAAAGTCAGTGGGTGTGTATCATCAACAGCTAACATACTGTGTTATTCAGTTTGTGGAAAAAGATCCGAAATTGGCCAGTGAAGTGATCAAGTGCCTATTGAAATATTGGCCCCTGACGAACAGCCAGAAGGAGCTGATGCTCTTGAGTGAGCTGGAAGAGGTTTTAGAGATGACTAGTTTGGTTGAATTCCAAAAGATCATGGTCCCACTCTTTCGGCGCATTGGATGCTGTCTCAATAGCTCACATTACCAGGTAAATTTTCATCAACTTGCTTATATATAGAGATTGATGTATTGCTGTGTACTATGCTTAATTAATCTTACTTATTTACTGAACGTTAGAAAGAAGAAGAGCATTTTGACTTCTGTTTAAAAGTTACTGAAATTTGGACCTGATGGTAGAACCTCACTTATTTCTCAATTACTGCAGGTAGCAGAACGTGCCCATTTGCTATGGAACAATGAGCACGTCCTTCATCTGGTCACTCAAAACAGGCAGGTGATTCTGCCCCTCGTGTTCTCATCTCTTGAGCAGAACATACAGAACCATTGGAACCAAGCTGTGCTCAAATTCACCAGAAATCTAAAAAAGATTTTAACAGAAATGGACGAAGAACTCGTGTCCGCCTGCCAGCGCAAGCTGGAAGAAGACAACTTAATGTCGAATGTTGCAGCCGAGAAGCGAAGAGCGACATTGGAACGTTTGGAAAACACCACCGCTGTCCAACCTGTATTCAATAATATCTTCATTTCAGTCGAACCTGCCACATGCTCCGTCACCTGCTGAGGGTATACTCAGTAAGGAAAACTAATAACGGCAATCTGACTAGATTGAGTCATGTCTGTACATTTGTTAGGACAAGTTTAAGTTTTTTAGTGGAGTTTGATCTCTGAGATGAATGTAGACCTAAAAAGTGAGCAGTTTTTACTTCCGCATGGGGGTTTTTGTGTGCGGGATTGGTGGGAAGGGGAAGCTCTTTCCCTTGAAATCGTCCATAGCCATGGTTCCTCTCGTATCAGTATCTTAGGCTCAGGATGTTTGCTTTTATTCTTTGGAAGTTGTATCGGATGTGCCTGCTAAGAACATTGACATCACGCCATCTTCTTTTTCGGCTGTCTGGTAGGCACATTTTCGCTGTTTGACATGGGAATTCGACAATGTATAGTAGAGCTTGTCTTGTCTGGCTACATTTCCCATTGTTATGTTCTTTGAAAGCTGCACTTTGGATCTTGCAAAGGCATGTTCTCACCTCTTTGTTATGCCCATCTCATCGAGTAGTTTGGTTAACAGAAATGAGCAAAAGAGGTTACTTTGCCTCTCTTCAGGCTCAGGAAGCACCGTTTCTATATATGTGAGTTCTGTTAGACATGCAAGTCTTCTGAAGTTTTGAAACTATCTGTCAATTTGAGTTTGACCTTATGCTTCAATTTTTTGTTCTTTCTTCAGTTTTTTTTTTTTGTTTTTTTGGTCTGTTTCTTTCTTCAGTTGCCCTGTCCATTCTGGGGTGGTTGTGATGCTAAAATTCTCTTTGGTCTGGTCTGGGCTAAAAAAATAGGGAATGAGATTCTTCTACCTAATCAATGCGTGACCTTTGATGAACGGCAGATAGTGCTTTTGTCCTTGTGTAGGTGCATCAAGAAAGACTTATGATTGGTGCCGACATAACCCATCAAAGCTAGTAATTGTCAAACTTCCCTTCTCATGCACAAGCAATCTTCATGCACGATGCTGCCCAAAAAGAACAAAATGAAGATGGATCATGCCCCATTTTATATCTCCTGTATTATTTACCACTCAGCGCGATAGCTCAATTGGTTCCCAGTTTGACATGTGTCATAATTCGATTTATGATCAGGAGCATAGCCATGCCGGTTAGATTTCAATAGCCGGCCTGTTTATTGGGTTGCATTAACGGCTTGAATGGTATTAAATTCCATAAAAAGGTGCAGAATTGTTCTTCTCGTGATTTGGACGACCATGACATCATATCAATCTTGTTCTTGTGTTACCTTTTGATCGGGCAATTTGAAAGTAACACTTGATGTTTATGGTATTAATGGTTCATCTCATTGGCACATTTTGTTTTTATAAATTTCATTTGATGATATTAAGGTCGGAAAGAAAAAATTTGAGGGACCCAAACGTGGTCACATGAAAAGACTCGGTGACAGTCGCGTCATGCCTTAAGTCACATCTCATAGTGACAAGGATGCATGGCGTTGTCCCTTCCTTAATCATATGCATCCCACGCTTAATTAATTAACATAATGTGTCTCCGACATTAAAGTAAAAAAAAGGGCTCAGATTAATCCACTCACCCAGCAGAAAAGTCCAAGATTTTCTTGTGGATGACCCTTTGTGTGGACCAGATATTAGCAAATGTGCATGACACCGACAGAAACATAAATCTGTTTAGAGTATAGTCATTGATTCTCGCGTAACTTTTCGAGAAAAAGTAGATATTTTTTAAAATCATAATATTTATTTTGGGTAATTATTCTTGTCTCGGAGCACCTAAAAGCTTTTTGAGATATTATATGCGGGGGTCGATTTGAGTGACAATGTCGATGAGTTCCGACTTTTTTGATGATAAACCATAAACCTCGTAGTAAATGGGTCAAAGGATCATAAGCCGAAAGTGCAAAACGGAGCCCAAGCTCTCTTAAATAGACAAGATTCGAGCGACTATCTCTTAGTCTCCGTTTGTTTCGCAGAAAATAATTAATTTTATCAAATATTTTCCTGAAAACGGTAGTTGGTTATCGCTTACAAAAATGAATTGATGAAATTTTTTTTCATCGTCTATGAAAATATTTAGACATAAATTGTTGTTAGTAATGAAAACATTTTTCATTGACTAATTATTTGAAGTGATAAAAACGATTATTTTTAAGAAAATATTTTCCAGATCATTTATTTTATGTAAAATAAACACACCCTTAATTTCGAACATGACTTCAACTTAATTTCAATTGTAAAGGTTGATTGATACATTTGACATCGTTGGGCAGACCTATTCATAAATGTTTAGATGGTAAAATTGTCATAGATGGGCATTTCTTAAGTTTATTTAGCAATATATAAGCAAATTGGTCCTTGCCTTTGGCCAAAGTGATTGATGATTTTCCATCATGGATACAATGGAAATGATGTTACCAATGTCCTATTGGGGTTGTTAATGAATAATCAAATTCATCCCACTTAATGATCTTCCTAATGAGAGTGTTACTGATTTTTGAATAAGACCTAATCTAATGAATGTACTAAAATCTAGAGTGGAAAAAAACATATGAAATCCATCGAAAATATGGAAATATCACCATTACCCACTTTCTAAACAAGTATTATCGATCACAATTTGGAGCGGTCAATCACGCGAAATTTTAAAGATAATGTTAACGGTATCATTAAGTCGCTATTTCTACGGTTAGAGATGAAATGACCGAGCGAGTTTGATGTGATAGATAGATCAAATCGATTGATACAAGTGACTGAACAGTTAAGTCGAGAGCCTCCAAAGATATGAAAGAGGAGGATAAGAGCAACGAGCGAAATAGGAAGCTGCCACCAAGCTTCCTTCTGTGTCTCTCATGGCGTATTAGTTTTTCATTTTCTTTCCTCAATGGCATCATTCAGCCTTCTTCATTCCCTTCTTCAACTCACCTTCATCATCTTCTGCTCTCTCTTGCTGTACTCCAAGCTCTGATCACAGAAGGGGGAGGGAGGGGGGGAGAGGGAGAGATGTTTGCTCCGCCGGGCTATCAGCAAGTGTCGCACTTCGATCACGTCCGTCGGCGCCATGAAGAAAGAGGCTGTCTCTATGCCTGGTTGGTCTCTTCTTCCTCTTCTTCTTCTTTTTCTTGTGGTCATCACTCGCAATCGTTCATCGGTGGCTCTCTCGCTTTCGTCCTTTTATGCACTAATAATGGTCTAAGTTTTGGCGTTTTGCTAATCATGTCTAGCAGTGATCAATCACATATGATCTAAGACCACATATGTTTGACATATTTTCACGAAAACCTGTGTATTGTGGTCGTCATCATCATCATCATATCCTTTGTCATCGCTTCATGTGTATTGACGTTTTTCTTTCCTTTTATGGCAATGGTCTTGGAAAGTGCAGCCTGTTCGCGCTGTGTTGCTGCTTCTGCTGCTTCGAGACTTGCGAGTACTGCTTGGAGATGCTCTGTTGTTGCTGCCCCTAAAATAAACAACACGCATGAATTTCATGGATATCACTCCCTCAGTTTCTCATGATGTTCTGTAGATCTGGCTTCTTCAGTGTATCCACTTTGAAATAATAGGAGGTCTCGGTTCATGTATATCTTCTAATATACCTGAAGAAGTCCTAGGCTTGCAAGACCTCATCAAGCTATTGCGTAATACCCATTTAGAGCTATTGTTTCTTGAGAAGAGATTGATAGTCTAAAACTCAGTTTTACGGAAAAAGTGCAAAAAAAGTCCTAAACCTTTTGTATTAATGTCAATTTAGTCCTAAACCTTTTTTTAGTACTAATTCAGTCCTAAACTTTTTGCATTGGTGCCAATTTAGTTTTAAACCTTTTTTTGGTGCCAATTAAGTCCTAAACATTTTAAATTGGTGCCAATTCAGTCCTAAACCTTTTATTTTTGTGCCAATTTAGTCCTTCCGGTTAATTTTGACCGGAATTTGCCGATGTGGATGCCTACCGGCCGGTCACCGGTGCCGACGTGGACAACTTTAATAATATTTTAATAAATTTTTGAATTTTTATTTTTTTCCTTTTTTTTCTTTTTTTTTTCCATTTTTTTTGGGTCCCCCCCTCCTTCCTCTGGCCGGCGAGGTCGGGCCTCGCCCGACCATGGCGAGGCTCGAGCCCTCGCCGGAGGCCGCGGCTAGGGCGACCCTCGCCATGGTCGGGCGAGGCCCGACCTCGCCAGATCCGGCGAGGCTCGCCCTCGCCATGGTTGGGCGAGGCCTGACCTCGCCGGATCTGGCGAGGTCGAGCCTTGCCCGACCAAGGCGAGGCTCGAGCCCTCGCCGGAGGCCGCGGCGAAGGCGAGCCTCGCCATGGTCGGTCGAGGCCCAACCTCGCCGGATCTGGCGAGGTCGCTGGGTGGAGAGGTCGCACCTCGCCCGACCAAGGCGAGGCACGAGCCCTCGCCGGAGGCCGCGGCGAGGGCGAGCCTCGCCCAGCGACCGGCCAGAGGAAGGAGGGGGGGAACCAAAAAAAAAAGTGGAAAAAAAAGAAAAAAAAAGGAAAAAAAATAAAAATTCAAAAAAATATTAAAATATTATTAAAGTTGTCCACGTCGGCGTCACGTCGGCGCCGGTGATCGGCCGTCGGCCGGCATGCGTCCACGTAGGCAAATTCCGGTTAAAATTGACCGGAAGGACTAAATTGGCATAAAAACAAAAGGTTTAGGACTTAATTGGCACCAAAAAAAGGTTTAGGACTAAATTGACACCAATGCAAAAGGTTTAGGACTGAATTGGCACAAAAAAAAAGATTTAGGACTAAATTGGCACTAATGCAAAAGATTTAAGACTTTTTTGGCACTTTTCCCCAGTTTTACTGAACAAAATAGATGGCGGTCTGGGCAACAATTCAGAAGCAAACGAGACTTGCATTAGAGCACATCTTTTGGCATCATCATCATCAGAAGAAGAATGAGGGGCTAACCCTTACCACGAGGTATGAACCGTGAGGACGAGCTTCGCCAATCTGATAACTCATTAGGCTTTAGGTGTGTTCCATAGCAATTCTGGGTTAATAGATTCTCTTAATCTGATCTGAGCGAATGCCATTTCAGGCATACGAATTCTTGGCCACGAGGGCGCTTCTGACTGCGAAATGCTTGTACTTTGTGACTCGAGTTATGTCAAGAAACTAAATGAGTAGAAAATATTCGAAGCAACGAAAATAAACTTCATGCTACATGTGCTTCCTTTCCTATTTCTACCCGAAAACAAGAACCAGAAAATCAGAATTTTTCCCTGCTGAAAGTAGCTGTTTGCTCTAAAGTAAGATGATAAACAATTGTCTTCAATATTTCTTCAATTCGTAGCCAACTCGAGAACCTTCACACGGATTATTAGGTTTGCCCGGTTCACAGGTTACAAAAGGAACAATTATGTGATTGCATAGGGCCCTGCAAGAACTTTGCAATCTCGCAGGAGTTATTCAGTTAGGGTCCTGCGAGAATCAACTCTGCGATCTATCTAGAATTATTCAGTTAGAACAGACGACTTCAGAAGATGTACACGCGGGCCATGGAGGTCAGCATAGTGGTCATCAATATCGAAACAAGGTTCACAGCATTGTTGTCCAAAATGCTGAGTCCTGAAATCCTCGACTGTCGGCCCCGGTTTACCAACAACCTGCAGAAACATTTCCGAATCACAAAAATTTCAGTTAGACCACGTGAAACGTCTTGTAATTTTGAACATTGTAGTGCATGTAAGGGTTTAACATGTGGATGACGCAAGCACTTTACTATACAGACCTTATTCCGAACCGTACAAAATCCACTCAACTGTAATGTGGCTCCAAGCAGAGAATCTATGACACTCCCACAAAGTCCCGCCAATGTGGAAAGTGGTCTCACTAATAATTGCTTCAAAGCCACATGTAGCGTGCATTATGGTCTGATCCGATTTTGGTATACTAATTATTCTAAAAAGCGAACTATACACTCTTTTTCCGTTCTATAGAAGAATTGCCTGTGGAGTTATTCTTATTTGTTTTAATATGCGGATCATTGGCAATAGTCAGAGTTAGAGTAGTAAATCTTATCAATGGGCCCACGCGCTAAACACAACTTTGAAGTGAGAGCCATTTTGGGACACGGGAACCCCACCGCCCGTCACGTCTCAACTCAAAACACTGCGAATCCCATTTTGCCATGCGTTGACGTTCAGCTCAATATCAGCACCTATTCTTTTGTTTTTTTTTTTTTTCATAATCTAAAGACAATGACGTGAAATTTTTTTAATTCTTTTCATCATATGATCATGTCAACCCAACGTGGATCGGTAGCACAAGTACTAATCTATCCTTACGTTGAATTCATGATTCTTGAAAGGAATTGAAAGGATATTGGAGGAATTGTAAATTGTATTGCTCTATTTTGTGAACATGTACAATGCTCTATTTATAATGCTAGAGAGCAAGGTGAAAAATAGCAAAAAAAAATTCAAGATCATATTTTCCTATCTTGTACACATCAATCACGGATTGACTGTATCAATTAGTTCAGAATCAGAATCGGTATCTCAATTAGAATCGATTCATATCTTCGATGATATCAAACCATATTTCCAACAATTCTCTAATATTCGGTGTTAATTTTGACTTTCGACTCTCTCACTTCAATCGTTTTCTTTTTGTCCGTTCATGCTAGGTTACGATCATGATGGACGGTAAGAACGTGCAAGTTTTATCATTTCGGTCGAGGAAAGGAAAAGGTCTTCTGTCATTGAAAGAGAACCTTGATTTGATATTTAGATTGAGAATATATAAAGTACAAGCGATTTGGGATATGGCAAGAGACGCACATAATGTCATTATGTTTGCTTGTTTTCTCATGACATTGTTGGTTTAGGAATCTATTTACAGCATACGTGGGGTTACATGCTGCACATCAAATGCTCTGAAATGTCCTGGACAACCTCTAGCAGATTGGGTCAATCGCAAATTACAAGTACGGTATTGACAGTTAGTCAAGTAATAGTCATCATGATCACTTCCGATTATATAGAATTACTTGCATTGCTTTTTGAGTAAATATGTCAACGCAGAAGTGGGTGAGAGAAGTCGACAAGAGTAATGTTCCAAGATTTGGCGCGCGGGCAAGAAATACAGAATTTGGAAAGACAATCTTTCTTTTGGAAAACGAAGTCAAAGTTACGCAAAATCAAATTGTTGGACATCATTTGCGTATTTTTAATCTTTTCCTTACCGGATGATTGAGAAAATTAAAGTGGACGAGATCGTGGAAAAGGTGAGGTGTGATGACGAGCTCATCGGAGGGACGCAATCGGACGGAGGCCCATAAGTTGCAAAGGCTGAGAGAGATGGTGCGGCCGTAGTAGATATAGTTCCCCAAGAGGCCGACGCGAGCGTAGACCTTGTGCTTGATCGCCGCGTCGGAAACTATCGGGGATTTGGTGTCGTCCATGGCACGTTGACGTGATCGTGTGAGAGAGAGAGAGAGAGAGAGAGAGAGAGAGAGAGAGAGAGAGAGAGAGAGAGAGAGAGGAGTCAGCTGATAAATTGTGGTTTTTATTTTTCAGTCAATTTATGTTAGAGGACACGTGTCACCCTTTGAGTGAGCCGATTAGGCTCACACACGTCAGGTGGTGGTTACTAACCACTGAATATTTTCTCCTATCATAGACATGGATAACGGTAGACTACAATGGATAATTATGTCATTCTCATAAAATTCAATGAGACCAGCTCATGAACGATAAGTTAGAAAACTTTTTCAATTTCAAAGGGCAATCTAAAACTAACCTTTTCTTTTAAGGAAAAGTAAAATGTATTATCATCCAGCCGGATTAAATATCAGAAGCTGTCAAATTTCTCGGGACAAAGGGTCGGAATTAGGTCGGGCCGATCCATCGGTTCAACAACGGGTATCGTGGAGTTCACTTGGTCAAATGAACAACCAAGTTAACCTAAGCAAAGCTGCATGCTCTTACCTCACGCCACATGGGCTGTTCTACCAACTAGTCCTGGGTGTTTGCAGGACCTCTGTGACAATCGCGCATCGTCCTGGGCTGGGCATCTCTTCCGCGTCGCGCGTGTGTTTGGACGACGTGGGATGGATGTCCAGGGACCAGATGAACGAGAAAATATCAACACAGGGCGTGGCCCGGAAAGGCCTAATTCCAAAAAAAAGCACCAAGTTTAGGTCGATGGATAATTCTGGCCCGAACTTTTTTATCTCATAAAAAAGCACCAACTTTAGGTCGAGAGACAATTCTGGCCCGAACTTTTTTTCGTCCCGTAAAAAAGCACCAACTTTAGGTTGAATGACAATTCTGGCCCCAATTTTTTTTTGTCTCATAAAAAATCATCAACTTTCACCATAATCCCAAATCTGGCATCCCGTTGACTTTCTGTCTGAAGTCACCATTGTTTGAAAAAAAAGGTTATGGTGGTGAGCTTGGCGAATCTCGTCCATGACGTCTGTCGACAGGCGGTGGTCAGCTTCAGATTACGTCTGGCCAAACAGATTCAATCTGGATATATTTTTGACTTGCCGGTGAAGTGAAAGAGACGAACAGTCTCACCGTTATTCTTCAAATTGTAGCTCAGAGAATAAGACAATGAATATTGCTTTAAATCCAATCAGCAAGTCACGTGGATTTATTGCTAAGGTGGAATAGTCAAGTTAGATAATCAATGGTTCTAAGTCAATGGGGACCAGATTTGGGATTTAAGTGAAAGTTGGTGCTTTTTTAAGAGATAAAAAAAAGTTGGGGCCATAATTGTCACTTAACCTAAAGTTGGTGCTTTTTTACGGGACAAAAAAATGTTCGGGCCAAAATTGTCCCTCGACCTAAAGTTGGTGCTTTTTTACGGAATAAAAAAAAGTTCAGGTCAGAATTATCCCTCGACCTAAAGTTGATGCTTTTTTTTGGAATTAACCCGGCCGGAAACAGCGTCGAAAGTTGTCTGACTCTAAGCTGTGGAAAGGAAGAGTAATCGGTGGGAAGCGGTGAAGCGCCAAAACAAAACTGCTGAACCCGAACCGGCCCCTTTTCCTGAACCGGAAAAGGAAAGAAGATATGCTGACATAGATATGGATATACTTGGGCCCATCGTGCAAGCTGTATAACAAGCACACTTTTGACCAAGTACTTAACTTGCCTATTAGTTTGACTTTGACCCTCGACCACCCTTATTTATTACCTACAGGCCCACACACCGCGAGCAGCAGCGTCCAAATCTTGAAGAAACGTTGTTTTCTTTGTATAGGTAAAGCTCGAAGGAACGTGTTGGAATGGACGTGCATGAGTTTGAACGAGATGGAGTTTTGATTCCGCCTTACATTATACTAGGAATTTAGAGGTGAATAGCTAGCAAGAGTGTGCTTAGCGAGTTTAGTTGATCCGTGACTTGTTAACGTGTTACGCTATATTACGTGGAAAATAAGTCAATAATTTTTTTTTATAAGTTTAGGATTCGAACTCTTTTTTTTCATAAAACACTTGAGTTGTTTTAGGAATCCCAATAATGTTTGATGGCCATGAAGCCAAGAGCATGATCAAATGCTGCATATGGAAGGAGTTTTTTTTTTTCTTATAGTTTTTTTAAGGCATAAGGATACCAAAAGTGTCAAAAATTGCGTCCGACGCTCACTTTTGCCAAAAAATTTTCACCGATCATTTAAGTGCTAACTTTTTAAAAAAATTATTTTAAGTGCCTACTCTGATGTTGGTCGCCGGAAATTCGATGTGGCCATTTTTTATTAATTTCTTAGGCCGACATGGCTAGCCGACGTGCTCAGTCAGCATGTAACCCCTAAACGACGTCGTCTACTAGCTTTCCCCCAAATAAGAATCCTAAAACGCACCAAATTGCCTAAAACGCACCAAATTGACAGAGAAGCTCCAATTTGAAACCCTAACGGCCATTCGATCGAAAACCACACCGCCCCTAAATTTAATGGCTCAAATTTACAAGAGGAGGGTGAGAGCTTGAGCAGCAGCTCAAATTCATTTCAACGAAGCAAAGAAGAAGGCGAGATTCCATAACCCGAGCTCGGAGAAGGAAGCTGAGCCCTAATTCTCGCCTTAGAGCCCTAATTTTTCCCTCCAATTGAGTGACTCAGTTAAAGAGGATGAACCTGAGTGAGTGAGAGCGACAAAGACGGCAAGCGTGTGATGCCCCCAGTACGTCACCTCTAACCTCTAATGTTGTTAATGCATTCTTTAACTTTTTATGCATGCGGAAGCATGCAAAATCAAAGAACAGCTCGAGACATGTAAAATTTAAAGGGACACACGCGAAAAATATAAACACGGCTATCTTCTTATTTATGTACTTAGACAACATAGGTTGGGGTACATTGGGGAAACAAAAAGGGTCATGTCGCCCCTGACTACACCAAAAGCTCCGTCAGTCATATCCTCTCAACCTGTAAGCATATATGTACAACGTCGCCTATCCATCACCAAAGTCACTGCCTGGTCTCCAAAAATGCTACTCCACCATCCTCCGGAAATCAGGATCCACAAACTCCGAGGCATCGTCGTCATGGGGACCGACGGAATAGTCACGCTTACAATTCCACACGTCTCAGCGTATACAATCCAGCAATTTAGAAATGTCATTTGCAATTGTTAATGCAAAGGAAACATCTCACCAGAAAGCTTAGAGTGTGTGCGTTACATCTCCAAAGGACATCAAATTGAGATTCCAACGTTTTCACCTAAGAAATAGTGAATAAATGCAAAAAGGTAAAACTAGGCAGCTTTGCGCCGTTTTTGAAATCTGATTTAAATAAATAGTACATGAACTCTAAAAATTCTAAATTTTGGATATGTCACAGAAGATACCTTGATAAAGGTATGGACTCAAAGTCTAAATATTTTTTTAAATTTCTTGTTTATTAGCTCAAAGGCAGACCAAAA